GATATAAAAAATAATAATGGGGGTAATAAAAGAATTATGAAATCAATACAAGAAAATAGATTCCTAAATGCTTTTGATAAACATATTTTTTCAAAGATATTACTTTTAAATACAAAAAACAATGACCTTTTATTATCCAAATAAAAAATAAATTATCATCTTTTGTACTAGTAATTTTTATCAAATCCAACCCTTTTTTGCTCTCAAATCACTTTGCTTTCCAAGTGTTTCTTCAAATTTTCAAATTAATAAATTTTAAATAATTTATTTTAATATTTTTTAAATAAACAAACAAACAAACAAATAAATAAATAAATAAATAAATTAACCGATTTAATTATATTTTTTAAAAAAAATAAAAAAAATTGATTTTGTGTATATAATAAAAAATATATTTAATTAAAACAAATAAAAACGAAAATAAAAACGAAAAAAAAAAAAAATAAAAAATAAATAAAAAAAAATAAAAGAGAAATATAAAAGAAAAATAAATTTATATAAACCATTTTTTTTTTTAATTATAATTTTATTTTCATTTTTATTTGTTTTAATTTTTTTTCTTTGTATCTTTTTTTTTTTAAAATTTATTTTTTTTTCGTAATTTTTAACGATTTTTTTTTTTTTTTTTTTTTTCAAAGGGAATATTTATTTTTTTTAATTATGGAACAACCACAAGAACAAGTTAACAAGAAAATAAAATTAGACAATGAAAAGATAAATAACAATACAGATAACAATACAGATAACAATACAGATAATAATACAGATAATAAAGAAAATAATAATAATAATTCCGTAGAAAAAAAGAAAAGAAATAAAGGTAGATTTGTTTTTAAGCAATATAACATACACCATGAATTATGTGCACAAAAAGTTGGTACAGATGCATTATTAGTTGCAGGTTATACATCAATTGCAAAATTTAAACCATACAATTTAAAAGAAGAAAATAAAAATTCAATTAATAATCAATTAGATGAATTGGTATTTGGAAGCGAAGAAAAACCATATGATTATGAACTTGGTAAACAATATGATAAAATTATAAATTATGATGAAGAATATGAAAATAATAATAATGATGCAGATTATTGGCCAAAATATATTTTAGGTAAAATTATTTTTTAAAAATTTAAATATAGATTATAAATTATAAATACTAATTCATAATATTGTAATTATAACAGATATTGGTACAGGTAGTAATATTTTAAGTATTATGTTGGGTCAAAGATTTAAAAAATCAATTATAAATTCAATCGATATTGATGAATCAGCAATAAAGCAAGCATCAATTAATATTGATACAATTTATGAACAAGGTAAATCAATTACAGATCGTATTTATTTATTCCATACACCAATACAACAATTTAATCCACTAGATTTGGTAGATAATGAAAATAAAGAAGAAGAGGGCATAGAAAAGAAACATAAACATCAAATTAGATTAAATAAAGATAAAGAAACCATTAAAAATATACCAGAACAAAGATTTACACCATCCTCAGACGGACTATACGATTTAATTATCAGCGCACCACCTTATTTCCCAACCGATCCAGCTAATGACAAGAATGTATCATCAATGCAAACCAACAGAAGAATCGCAAGACACACCCACACCTTAACAATGGAGGATTTAGTTTTATCAGTTAAAGGTTTACTCAGACCGGATATTGGGGTTTTTACAACCATTGTATCCGTACCAGATCCATCCGACGATTTAGAATTGGCTGCTAACAAACACGGTTTATCTTGTTTAGAAATCATTGATGTTACAGATGCACCAAACACTAAAATCATAAGAAAAATGTACACTTTTAAATTATTTTCAAATCAAGATGATGCTCAAAAAATTGAAACCATTAAAAGAAATTTCTCAATTTACGAAACTGGTATCAAAGACTCAACATTAAGAAACCATAGAAAACATAGTACACCATATAAATGGATGTTAAATGATTTCTGTGATCATTTTTTAAAAGAATCTGATCAAAATAAATAAATAAATTATTTAATTATTTAATTTTTTAATTTTTTATTTTTTATTTTTTATTTTTTTTTTTATTTAAAACACACAGTTTGCACATCCATAAATAGTTTTTATTTTTTTTTATTAATAAAAATAAATAATTTCACCAACCCAATTTTTTTATTTTTTTTTTATTTTTTTTTTTTTATAAAAATATAAATTATTTGAATTTGAAAATTAAATCTAATTTTCATTTGTAAATCAAAGATTGTATTGTCAATGAATTTCACCCAATATTTTTTTTTATTTTTTTTTTTAAATTAACGGATAATTTTCTTCTAAATCCGCCTTTTTTTTGAAAAGGGTGAAATTAAAAAAATATAAAAAAAATAAATAAATTAATTTTTTTTTTTCAGATTTTTGCATCACCCTTTTTACAAAATAAAAATTATAAAGTTATTATTCAAATAATAATAAATAATTAACAATAAATAATAAATTATAAATAATAATAATAATTAATAAAAATAAAATGACTACAGGTATACCTTCACAATCCACTTCTCAACCTCCAACACCAACACAATCACAAATACAAACACAAAATACAAATATATTAAATGATAATATGATTAATAATAATGTTGGTTTATTGATATCCCTAACTCCACAATTAGTTGGTAATATAGAGATTAAATTTAAAGTTGGAGATAATATTTCAATTGGTAGAAGTAAAACATGCAATATAATAATATCAGATATTATTATAAGTGGTAAACATTGTATGATCAGTAGAGCTGATAGTGGTCAAGAAAAAGAGAGTTTTGGTTTACTATTAGTACAGGATCTCAGCACAAATGGAACTTTTATTAATGGTAAATTAATTGGTAAAGGATTATCCAGAGTTATAAAATCAGGAGATAGATTAACACTGGGGAAATCAACAAAAGAAATTGATATTTCATTTTTATATAAATCAAATAATATACAGAGTAATAGTAGCAACAATGAGGAGAATGTTGAGTTTCTATGGGAAAAAAAGGGTATCAAAAGTGATGTTTTAAAAGATTACGATTTTATTAGAGAATTGGGAAGCGGTAATTTTAGTATAGTTTACGAAGGCATCAATAAAACCACTAGTAAAAGGGTAGCAATCAAGCATTTAAATCTCACCAAGGTATACACACAATCAAATAAATTCAAGTCTCAATTAAATAGAGAAATTGAAATCTTAAAATTTGTTAAACACGAAAACATTATAGAAATATTTGATATATTTTATACCAACGATCAGCAGTTATTTTTTATATTGGAATTGTAAGTATATACTATATAAATAATATATGAATGTATTAATATACTAATATTGGTTTATTTTTGTAGAGCAAATGGTGGGGAATTATATAATAAAATTGGATTTAACGAGCCCCTATTAAATGAAATTCAAGCAAAGTTTATATTTAAACAAATTTTAGTAGCTATTTCATATCTTCATAGTAAGGGTATTGCACACAGGGATTTAAAACCAGAGAATATTTTGTTTGAAAGTTTTGGTGAAGATTATCTTAAAATTAAAATTACAGATTTTGGTTTAGCTAGGTTTATTCACGAAGGAGAGCTTGCTAAAACATTATGTGGTTCACCACTATACGTTGCACCAGAGGTAATTTTGTCACTAGGAAAAGCAAATCCAAGATTTAATACTTCTGGTAATTATAATAATAGTAATAATAATAATAATGGTAGTCCATCTCCCACAAAAAAGGATTTGTCTTTATCTACAGGTTATGGTAAATCTTGTGACGCTTGGTCATTAGGTGCAATTTTATATATTATGTAAGTAATGGTTTTTATTAGTTTATTCATTTACCTTCAACACTTCTAATGATTTATATGTTTTTTTTTACAGATTAAGCGGTACACCTCCATTTGATGATAAGGATGATGAAGAAATCTCAACTCCTCAATTATTTGAAAGGATTATTTCAGGTAATTATAAATTCCCAACATATATTTGGTCAAAGATTTCAAGAGATGCTGCAGATTTGGTTAAAAGATTATTGACTGTCGACCCAAGTAAAAGATATACCGTCGAGCAGGCTTTAGCACATCCATGGATAAAGGGTTTAAATGAAAATACAAATCCATTTACAAATAAACCCATTTCACCACCAATTTTATCATCAGGTCAAATACCCCCAACATCACCAGTTAAGATTTATAGTGATAGTTTAGATAGTAATAATATTGTAAAAGATAATAGTAATAATTGTACAGATATTGAAAATAATAATGATAATGATAATAATAATAATAATATAACAATACCAACAACATTAAAAAGAAATTTGTCATCCTCGGAATCTACCAATGGTACAGATAATAATAATATAAATAATAGTTTTATTTCGGGCACAAATACTTTATTAAATCAATTAAATATAAGAGATATTGGCGAGCCCGTTAAAAAAAGAAAAACATTCTATAAAACTTCAAATTCCAAAGAAAATATTTATAATAATCCATTTTTAAGTTCAAGTCAATAAAATAAAATAAATAAAATAATATATAGCTTTTTTTTTTTATTACAAAAAGTTTTATTTATTAAAATTTATTACAGGGTTTATTTTACATTGTCTTTATTATATGTACAGTTTATTATAATTGCTATTGTTTTAATATAGATTTGATGTGTCATTATTATTATTACATTTGTTTTTTATTATTTTGTTATAAAGTTTTTTTAATTTGATTGTTGATAAGGGTTTAAGTTTATCATTAAGTTGGGATATTAAATTCATATTTGAAAGAATCGAGTTGTTTAAGCTGTCCAAGTAAATAGAGTTTACTGAAATTGAAATTGAGGTTAGGTTGGTTGATGAGGAGGATGGAGATGTTAGTTTTAGTTTGGTTTCACCTTTGAGTATGAGAATTTTTAATGATTTTGGTAATTGGTCTAATGTTAAGTCATATGATCTATATTTCTTCCCAAGTTCTAGCATTTGTAGTCCAGATGGTAATATATCTTTGTTTAGAGGGAAATCATAGCATTGACCTAATTTTAAAAATTTAATAGTATTGGGTAGGTGTAGTTCTTTAATTGGTATTCTGAATGGGTTGCTAAATTCGAGTGAGGTTAATGATGTTGGGAGTGAGTCTTTTTGGATTATAAAGCTAAAGAGATTTGAAAGTTTTAACCTTTTTATTTGAGAGTTGTTGGCTAGTAGAGTTGGAATGATAACTTGAGAAATCATAATTTTAAGAGTATGGACAGAGGGTGGTAGTGTAATTTCTTTAATGGCTCTTTCATAAAGGTTGTTATAGTGAATTTTGACCTTTTCAACTGATTTTGGTAATTGTGAGCATTCTTTCTCGTCAAATGTAAGTTCAGTATTTGATTTTAGTTTCAATGATTTTAAGTTTGGTGGTAGGTATGTGGTTGAAATCTTTTTTTTCACAAGATCTTGCTTTTTTCCTTTTATACCAAAAAACATTTTTGATGGGGTTGTTTCTAGATACAGTTTCTTTAATGATTTTAAATGTACAAGCGACTTTAATGTTTTTCTATTGCTAAAATCAGAGCCTAGAGATAGTTTGACCAAATTTGTTGGGATGGAAAATTGATGGTTGAAAGTATCGCCAATATCCAATAATTTCAGGTTTTCAAGTAGATGTTCATTTTTAAATTTTTGAGTTGCTTCACTACCACCTCTTAGGAACTTAATCTTTTCTAGAGTGCTTGGGAAACATTCAAAACAAAATTTTTGGTTATATCTGATTGAGAATTCGATTGATTTTAGTTTTTTCGGTAGTTGCGAAATATTATTAATGGGTTGGTTGTAGTTGATGCCAAATTTGATTTTCGTTAAACTTTCTGGAAAACTATTGCATATTAAAGGTTGGTTAAATGAATGGGAGAGATAAAATATCTTTAAGGTATTGGGTAGGCTATTTTGAAGTATTGGTAACTGATATTCTAGTGTTCTTAAATCTAAAATCGTTAGTCCTTCTGGAGTGAATATCGATAGTCTATTAAGTGAGGGGCTGATTGAGTTGTTGACTCGATTCATCCTAGAATATGATGGACGAACCAGACCAATATCTTCATATATATTGCAAGGTTTGAATTTTTTTATTCTTCCGTTACTCGAGTTTAAAAGTAATATTAAATTATTTGATGATACTTGACGGAGTTCGAAAAGTTCTACTTCAATGATGTTTTTTGGTAAAGAATCTAAAAATCTTATAGCTTTAGCAATACTCTTATTGGTTAAAAAACTAATTCTGATTGATCTAAAATACTCTTTGTGTGGGTGGTTCCATTCATTTGGTTCCGCCTTGTAAAATTCATTGTTATCTTGAAATATATGTTCATCAATTATAACTTCTCTTTGTTCATAATACTGATTTATCAACCTTAGATGTTTTAAAATTATATTTTTGATGACTTTATTACGAAAAATTTGAATAAATTTATCATTGTTATTATTACTATTATAAATAATATTAGTAGTGATATTATTATTATTATTATTACTATTACTAATATTACTATTATTACAACTATTCATTATTAATGATTTTATAATTATAAAAATCTTTTTTTTTTTTTTTTTACATTTTTTTTTTTTAAAAAATAATTAAAAATTAAAAAAAAAATTAAAAATTATTTTTATTAACTGATTACTATTTTAATTTTTAAGTTTCATTTTTGTGTTTGTTTTTTAATAAAAGTTATTAAAAATAAAGTTGATTATGAGGGATATACAATGTTTTTAAATAGAGTGTATTAAAAAAAGGAAATCAAATTCAAATAAATTTATATTTGTTTTTTTTTTTTTTTTTTTAATTTTTAAATTTAAATTAATTTAATTTTTTTTTTATTTTTATTTTTTTTTAATTTTATTTTTATTTTTATTTTTTTCAAATAGAGAATACCTATCTAACTCACACCCACCCACAAAAATAAAGTGATATATTTTTTTTTTCAATACTGTGCATAACATTGTTAAAGTTTATTCAGCTAAAGAAATAAAAGAAAATGGAAAAAAGTATTATAAAAACTTCATCTGTAAGTAATTGTTTTTTTATTATTTTTTACCTTTTTTGATTATACTAATTTATTTTCTTTAAATAATAGTTTTCTCTCGAATCTAGATTTGGCCAAAGATTTATTTTTGTGGCTGTTTTTATATATGCATTCGACCGTTTCAAAAGCAATTTTATAATAAAAAAAAATAATAGAATTATAATATTATTCCCAAGTAACATTAAAATTGTAGAAAAAATGAGTTAATTTTAAATTTTCAGTACACCAAATAATAATAGTATAATAATAGTATTGTTATAGTTTTTTTTTTAAAATAATTATTTTATTTTAATTTTTTTTTTTTTAATCTACATAATAAATAAAATAATTATTTCTTTTTACCTTTTTTTTTTTAAAAAATAAATTTCTATTTTTTTTTTATTATTATATAATTTTAGTACATTTTATTCATTTATTATTATTTAGTACATTCTATTTTGAGCAAAATCTATCGCATCTATCTGCAACAGAGACACATTCTGCTTCACTAAAATCTATGTAGCATTTATATCTTTTCATACATTCGTTAAAGCAAGAATCTGTATCATGGTTGGAGCAATTTACAATACTAATTGTGATCATTAATAAAAATAGTAATAATGTTTTTATAGATAAAGGGTATATTTGTTTAATCTGTTTAAAAATTTAAAAAAATTAATATCTTTATTTTGCAAAAAAAAAATATTATTATAAAATCTATAATTTACCATTTTTAAAGTTATTTGTTTTGTACCTTTAAACCAAGTGTAGTAATAGTATTATAATAATAAATGCTTTATAAAACAAAGCCAAATAAAATAATAAAATAAAAAAAACAAAGAAAATTATTTATTTTTATTTGTTGTTAAAATAAAATTAAATAAATAAATAACTATTTTTTTTTTTTTTTTTTTTTTTTTTTTTTTGCTATATTAATCAAATTTCTTTAATTATTGGGTTAAAACATAACAATAATCTAGATATATAATATACTTTTAATTCACTTAATTACTATAAATATAACTACTAAAATTAAAAGGTAACCACCAAAAAAAAAAACAAATGGATTTTGAAAATTAACAATAACATTAACCCACCTACTATAACTACTATAACTAAAAAACAACAAATTGATTTTGATTTTGAATGAAAAATGAAAGAAAAGTAGCACTCTTTAGATAATTAAATACGCTCTAATAAAAATTTATTAACAAAAGATCATCATCATTTTTAAAAAAATTATTATTTTTTAACCCAATATATAAATATACATAAAAGTTTTTTTTAATTATAAATATATTTTTAAATTTAACACACCCTTGTTCACACACTCAAACCCATCCATATTATAAAAATACCAATTACTCTCGTGAATAATCTCTCAAATTAAACACACACACTTACTCACACACACGCACACACATTGGATGCACATAAAGCAAGTATACATGCATATAAAACTCACAAATGAAAAATAAAATAAAAAAACAAGTTAAAGATTAAAAAAATAATTATTTCTAATACTAGTAAAAATACAAAAACATTGAATATATAAAAAAATAAACTTTCTTATTTAGGTAATGGTTGGGTGTGTGTGTGTATATTTTTATAAAAGAGGATGTTTAAAAAAGGTAAAAATAAAAATTGATTATTTTAGTATTTTTAAAAAAAAAAAACAAAATTTTTTTTTTTTATTAATTTTTATTTTATAAAGTTTTTCTAATAAAAATATTTTGCATTGGTAGAGAAATTAGCTTTCTTTCTTTTAAAATAAAAACCAAAATATTGGTAGCGGTGAAAGTTTTGACTATTAAAATATCCTGCATATATCCAAATTCTTTAGTGCCTCTTTGGATTTTATAATCTGCTAAATAAACAAGGGGAGTTTTTAAATTTTCTTTTTGAATTTTCTTTTCAAATTGGGAAAAGTTGTAAATTTTGTCTATTGAATCAAATTCTTCAATCATTACTCTACTGAACTCCACTTGGAACTGACCTCCTTCAGGCTCTTCTTCAAACCAAACAGTGCAAGTTCTCTTCTTCTCATCTATTGATACCAAAAATGCGTCGAACCAATTCAAATGATTTTCATCACTTTGTTCGTGGTGTCTAACATATATTGGCATTTCAAAATTGGGATCTTTTGCTTTTTTCTCTTTAAAGATTTCAATATGCTTGCTTGTTATTGTTTTATTGTGTCTAACGAAATAATAGTTTTCCGAAATTGAAACTTTATCTTTTTCTTGTTTTACCATTTGATTGTACTCTTCTACTGATAAATAGTCTGATAAAAATATATTATTATCTTTTTTACCTTTTTTACCAACTTTGTTAGTTTTGTTAACTATAGTTTTATTCAGTTTTTTATTTTGGTGGATAGGTGAGCTTTCATTGCTATTGGTTGGACTATCATTTAATTCATCAATTTTTCTTTTTTTTCTACCTCTAGTTGATTTTGCTTTAGGTTTTTCTGGTGATGCTATGGTTGGATTGGTTTGATTGTTGTTATCTTTATCATTATTATCCATTTTGTTATTGTCTATATTATCCGTATTATTATCTATACTATTATCTATACTATTATCTATACTATTATCTATATTATTATCTATATTGTTTTCTGTGTTACTATCTAATTTTTTATCCGTATTATGGTTGTCTATAATAACATCATAAAAAATATTTTCATTTATATCAATATTATTATCACTATTATCATTATTACCAATATTGTTGATGCTATAATTATTTTCATCAGCATAATTGCTATCTTTATTAACATCAACATTATTATTATTTTCATCAGCATTATTGCTATATTTATCATTAACATCAACATTATTATTATTTTCATTATTATGGGTTATATCTATACTGTCCATAATGGTGTCTTTAATAGTTGTATCTTTAGCAATATTATCTATACTATCTTTATCTATATTAATAGAGTTGTTATCTATGTTTTTACTATCTATGCTATTATCTATGTTGTCTATGTTGTCTATGTTATCTATGTTACTATTGTTATCTATTTTACAACTATCGTCTATATTATTATCAATGTCATTATTATTATTATTATTTACATTATTATTGGTATTTATATTAATTTCATTGTTTGTTAAAGTAGAGATAGTTGAACTACCATTAATATTATTATTTACATTGTTTTCTATTTTGTTGCTATTATTATTGTTTTTATCATAATCTATATTACAAGATTGTTGGGAATGAGATATTATCGGAGATAATAGTTCTTGAAGTTGTAAATCTTGGGTTAATTGTTGTTGAATTTTTTTTTGAATTATATTTTCAACATTGATATTAGATAGATATTTTTCAACCTCTGCTTGTACTAATTGTTCTAAACTTTTATACGATAGAGCCGATGTAATTTGTTTAATAACTTCAGTTTTAACAATTTCATTGATGCCAAAAATTCTACTGTCTGATATTGATATTTTTTCATTATTATTTGCACAGCTACTAAATTCTTTTTGTTTTTCTTGTTCAAAGGTTGATTCTGTTATATTGGTATTGACTATGTTTGGTTCTTCATCGCTATTGGATAAATATGACAGACCCAAATCCATTGGATTGTCTTGTTTTTTTTCTTCAAAATTCATTTTCCACTTTTTTTTTTTTTATCTTTTTTTTAAATATATTTATATATATATATTATATGGGTGCTATAACATTGGTTATTAAATGTTTGTTAAATTGTGGTAAAAATTAAAAAAAATTGTAAAAAAAAAAAAAATAAAAAATAATTTTTTTATTTTTTTTAAAATTTTTTAAATTTGAAATTTTTTTTCTTTTAAATTTTTTTAATTTAATTTTCAAAAAGGTAATTTCGAAAAATTAAATTTAATTTAGAAATTTATAATTTTGGAATTTATAATAATTAAAAAATAAAAAATTCCAATTAAAAAAAAAAATCTTTGAAAAATACACCGGAAAAATTTGTATTTATTGTTTTTTATTTTTTTTTTTTATCATCTTATTTAATATTAACTTAAATTATTCCTATTTTATATATTAATATAAACACTATTTTTTTTTAAAATGAAAATTATAAATTCATTATTATTATTATTAGTAATTTTACAATTGTTATCAAGCAGTATTTCTGTGATTGCAAGCAGCGATGAATCAGCACTGGATTCTTCAGAACAATCACTTTTATGTCCAGGTGTCCCGATGTGTGGTGGTCCAGAACAAGGAGAGTGCATTAATCAAATGTGTAGATGCCATTATCCATGGGTTGGATTTGATTGTTTAAGTAAAATTATAATAATAGATCCACCCACACTCCCACCCGGCGTTCCTTCAATATGTGTAGATATTTGCAATGGCCATGGTAGATGTAGTTCTGATAATTTATGCATATGTGATATGGGCTGGGGAGGTCCATATTGCAACACATCATTATCATCATCATCATCATCGTCAATTGTCCCACCAATTCTAGATCCTATAATTGTTTGTAATAGTACCAATAATGGTTTGGTTGTCGATAGTTATACAGGCATCAACTGCACAGCCAATGGTCCAATGGAATGCGTAGACAATTACAGTGGTTCGACATGCTCAACCGAAAATCAAGGAAGCAGCAGTATCAAATGCACTGTTGGTTCACATATGTCGTCCAGTCAAAGACATTCCATTACTTGTATTGGTAGTGATATTAAATGCGTATCATCATTTGTCAGATGTGGTGTCAAATTATCAGCTCCTGGTAGCTTATATGTCAATGATATCCAAACTAATTCAAATATTGTAATGTTTAATCAAGACAGCGAGCAAATTTATTTGGGGGAAAAATCTGAAACATCTTCAGTTTTTAGTCAATTTAATATATTATCTATTTTATCATTATCATTTTTGTTATTATCTATTTTTTTAACCCAATAATAATAAAGTATAAATAAACCAATCCTTATAAGATTTTCTTATCAACTAAAAATGTGCTTATTAAAATAACCAACACACAAAAAGGTGGTTATTTTTTAAAATTTTTTTGGATGTGATTTTTTTTTAATTTTTTTTTTATTTTTTTTTTAATTTTTTTTATTTTTTTTATTATTTGAAAAACCAAATCTGTATATCTTTTTAATTTAAGATGAACCACATAAGCAATGGATTTCATTTCATTTTATAATAAAAGAAAATTTATTTTATAAAATTTTCAATAAGATTTTTTTCTTTCTAAACACTCTTGTTTTTTTTTTCTTTAAAGTTTAAATATAAAAACAAATTTAAATATCACACAAAAATTATTCAATAATAATAATAATAATAATAGAAATAATAATAGTTCTAAAACAATGAGTTTTAGTAATTTATTCCATACTAGTAACCATAGTAGATTTGAATCATTTAAAGAATATATTTATAATTTATATAATAGTAAGAGTACAAAATTAACAAATGAAGAATATAAAACAATTTATAAGTATGTATTTTAATGTATAAAATTATATAAAAATGCATATTAATTTTTTTTTTAAATTTTAGCAACATTGTTTTATATAGAGAAAAATGTTTTTATTTTAATTTAGAAAAATTAGTTATAATTTTTCATTGTGACTATACATGGTTAAATTACAGAAATGTAGAGTCTGATGACAGTTTTGAATCAGTTTATTTACCACTTGTCGAAAGTTTTTTAAAAGATGAAAATATGCAAATTGAACCATTTAATAATATATTTATCGAACAAAAGCATAATTTCGAAATAATTGAAATATTAATTCAAAATAATATTTTAAATTTTAATAATGTAAGTTTATTAGTTTTAAAAAAAATTAAAAATAGAGATCTTAATGACTAATATTTTAAAATATTAGGATTTGTGTAAAGAAATTATTAAAAAAATATTTAGATTTATTAAAAAGCAAAGAGATATTATTATATCAAAAAGATTAGAAGACAGTTTTAATAGTACAATTAGAAATAATAGTAGCAGTATAAACAATAGTATCAATAATAGCAATAATATATTTTATTATAGTCCTAATAAAAATCACAACAATAACAACAACTACAACAACAATAACAACTGTATCAATTTAAATTATTATTATATTTATTTATTAAAATCAATATTATTATTTAAATCTAAAATTGGTAGTAATGGATATGAAGAATTTAAAGGAGAGCTCTATCAATTTTTTAATGATCTTATTATAACGATACCAAGCAGCAAGGTTAGAAAAGATATGATATTACTATTCGAGTTTTCAAATGTTATCAAAGAATTAGAGTATAGCAGAAAGGAATATTATAACTTATTATTAAAATCATCTATATTGAACGATTTTATCAACGTAGACCCTATGTTTCAAAAAAAGAACTATAACGAATTATTAATAGCAATTTATATCGATACAGAAATTTTCGAGAATGGTTTTAACCTAAAGCAGGACTACAACTATATCATTGAACCCTTATTAAAGAAGTGTAGATTTAAAATCAAGAAATTTAATCAATTTTTATTTGAATTAAAAGTTAATAAGCAGTATTTTCCAAATTCGCTAGAGTCAATTTTAGCTACCTTAGAATTCTCAATTTCAATCCCGATTATTACTCAGATGATAGAGAAAAATAATTGGGACAGGTTATTGGTTAAAGAAATCTTAAATAATTTATTAAAAAAATGTGACTCTGTTATATTACGCTCACTATTTAACATTGATGAAGAATTGGTCCTAGATAAAGAGTTTTTATATCAACTGTATCAAGATACTTTGGATAGATTATTAAAAAGTAGAACCAAGCTATTCGAGTCCTGTGTAGAGCCTTTATTTTCAAGAATTACCAAATCACCTATTAAAATGAAATTTATTCAAGATAATCTTCAATTCTTTTTTAAAAAACTGTATATTGGTCAAATTGATCAATTTATATATCCAATTTTCAAAGAAGAGTGTGAAAACTCGTCGACATATAAAAGCAAATCAATCATAAAGTTGTCTAGTGGTGACGACAAGGGTAGCAGCTGCAGTGAAAGCTATTATAGAAAGAAAATGGAACATATGATGAATGATTTATTCATATTAATCAAACAGGAGCAATCAATAAACGAAAGCAAAGACAACAATGATCACTATATTATGGAGCTATTAAAACAACTAAACAATATACCCAAAGAAAAGAATCAAATTAAAGAGCAGGTTTCAATAGAGTTGGATCAATATCTATTTCCAAATGATACAGAGAAATTAAATTTCAATAAAAAAATTGAAAAAGATATAGAAAGTATATATAAAAAAGAAAAAGAGTTTATTGATCAACAAATTACATTAGAAAAAGAATCAACTGCTCTTACACAACAATTAAATCTATTATCAAATAAAAAGAATGAAAAGAGAAACCAAATGATTAAAATTATCGATAATATGGTTTCAAAAAAACAGTCATTAGTCTCCACACATAATAATAATAGAATAAAATCATATAATAAAAGATCATCATCATCATCAATCTCAAATATTAAAAAAACAGCAAATTATAGTTTACCAATTTATATACAGCGTTTTGTAATATCATTATTATTTAATGATTCAAAAACTACACAATACACAAAACTTTCAATATCATTAATATCAAAGAAATTTTTAGAACTATCAATTCAAGAAATGAATCACTCCACCACAGTGCCAATATCTATTAGTTACAGATACAATTTCAATAGTAATCTATCACTACTCAAATCAAATGTTAAATATTTAAATTATAGCTTTACTTACAAAAAAAAATACCGTCATTATTTTTACCACGATTATGACGAAAGACTCAATGAAGAATTGGAATTAATCAACATCAACTACAGCGAGTTGGAAATTCTCGATCTCAGAAAATGTGAAATAAATAGTATTCATTTTAATATTTTTTCAACAAAAGATAAATATATAAACCTAAAACAACTCTTACTATCAGTTCCAAAAAATAATAAAATTATAAACGAAAAGCAAAAAGAACTGAACGAAATAAATAAAAGGATATCAATTAAATACATAAACGAAAAATAAAATTGAATAACAATTCATTCACCTAAAAATAACAAAACGAAATTCTTTTTCTTTCTCTCACACAACCAAAAAACGTCATACACCCAAATTCAATGATAATAATAAAAATCAAGATATCTTTTAGATATTTTTTTTTATTTTTTTTTTATTTTTTTGTTTTTTTTTTTTAAAATATTGTTGTTTTAAAAATGAAATTTTTTTTTCTTTTTTTTATTTTCACTAAGTGATGGTATTGTTTTTTAAAATGAAACATTTGGTTTTTTTATTTATATTTTTTATTGTTTCATATTCACAAACTATAAACGAAGCCGAAAGTGAGTAAAATTTATTAAAAAAAATTTAGAAAATTAAAATTAAAATTTTTTTTTTTTTTTTTTTTTTCTTATTAGGTAGTTGCGCAGAGGAACTAGCAAATACAGTTAATGATGAGACTTTAAAGATAGCAATCACAGCAAACACTTTTTGTAAAAATTTTGAAATTTGCTCTGCTGAGGGAAATATTTTAATATTGTAATTATGATTATTACAAATTTTTATTTTATTTTTTTATTTTAACATTTTTTATTTTTTTTATTTTCAGGAATTTGATTTCAATCATTAATTATACTTTTGATTGGAGTCTATTAGAATGCTTTCCAAAATTATCTATTATTAAACTAAATGGGTTCACATTACATGATAACTTTTTTAATACTGCTTTGCAAAATATTAATAGAATGTAACTATTCACCAAATTTAAAAAAAACAATTCAAAATATACTAATAGATTTAATTTATTAAAAAGAGACTTGGTTAACTGTTCCAATATAATTATCAGTGATACTTTCCCTCAATCCTTAAAATATATATTTTTTGAACTCCCCTATCCACTAGAATTTGATATAAAGTATATTAAAGACTTAGTCACTTTGTAAGTAATCATTTTTATTTTAAATTTTTAATATTTTTAAATATTAACTAATTTTTTCTTTTTATATATTTATGTATTTTTATTATTTAATGTTCAAATGGAACCTTAAGTTGGGGACATGTAAATTTATTACCAAGTAATAGCAATTTTATAGGTCTCGGACAAACATTTAAGATAACTACTTCTTCTTTTCCCAATTTATCACACTTCCCATATCTAAAAACATTAAGCATTTTATATCAGCATCAAAATAATTTAGATCAAAGCAATATTTTATCGTATCACCATATTGAAAATTTACATTTTGTTTTTGATGGAATATCTGCCCCACTAGAGCTAAACCAAATGGATAACCCTAAATATAATAAAATTAATATTCAAACAAAAGGACCACAAACAAATATTTTAGATTTTTCAAATAAAAAAGAAGGTTCTGTTTCTTTAATGTAAATAAAATCTTAAGTATATAATTTATAATCATCATTTTTATTTTTAAATAACCTAATCCTTTTTTTTCAGGGATGTCAATTTTTCAAATTTACATGTTGGTGAATTTCCGATTTCTAAACTACCAACGGTTGATGTTGAAGAATTGTATGTATATAATTAAGATTAAAATATTAACTAGTTTTAAATTTAAATTATTTAACAATATTTTATTTTTTTTAGTAAATTTTCATCTTCAAATATAACTAACCCTATAGACTTTTCAATATTTGAAAATGTTACAAATATCTTTATAACCAGCTCAAATATCCCTGGTCAATTATCAAATATCAAAAATTTAAAAAAAGTTAAAAGAATAGATTTGAGAAAAAATAGATTTTCTGGAAAGGTAGATGAATCTTGGTGCAATGTTTTTTTTCTACTGAATAATAATAATCTATCAGGTCCGTTGCCAGATTGTATCAAATGTTATTTAGACGACTTTGAATTATCTAACAGATTATCAGGAAACAATCTCGATTTAACTCAATCCTGCTCACCAGGTATGTATTGTTTATTATTTTTTTACAAGAAAGAAAAACACATTATTTAATTAAAATACATTTCTATTTTTTAAATAGATAAAATTATACCAAATATTTTTTATGATTCAAATGATGGTTATGTATATCTATTTGGTTTAAATCTGGGATTTTCAAATGAAACCATCAAAACACAACCTTCAATCAATTTTGAAGCGGCAATAATCCCGAGTAGTTTATATAGAGGAAAATTTAATCCCACAACCAACCCTGATGACCATGATGCAATCCTTGTTGAATTTTTAACACCAGGTTACAGCTATACAATATCATTACATGACAAAATTGATCCTAATGTTAAATCATTGGCTCAATACAATAACCTAATATCAATAGATGGGGACTTTTTTTCATACAATAAAACCGATATCAAGGTTACAATTGGTAATAGTCTAAACTGTAATATCATAGGATGCACCTTTTATCAAATTAACTGCACCATTTTTCAAGTTGATCAAAGTGAAGAAAAGAACATAACAATTTTAGTTAAAAATAGATCAACAATTATTACAAGTATGATTAACAAAGTAATTAACCAATGTCCCTCAGAAGACTGTAACGGAAATGGTCAATGTAATACAGAGTCTGGTATTTGTGAATGTGATAAAGGGTGGTTCACAAAAGGAAATGATATATGCAATGTTGCAGATCATTATTTATATTCAAATACCCAGGTTTTATCTACAACTGGTGGTTTAATTCAATTATTTGGTTGGTTTGGTAATATAAATAAAAACCTTGACATTTTAATTGGTAATCAAGTGTGCCAAATAGAATCAGTGTCTTCATCAGTCATTTCATGCAACATTAATGCTGGAAGCGGTTTAAAATGGGTGAGTATCTCTCAAAACGGTATTGAATGGAGAGGTCCAATATATCCATACTATGACCCAGTTTTCAAATGTCCCAACAATTGTGGTGGTCCCTCGAAAGGCAAATGTATTACTAAAACAGGCGAATGTGTATGTGAACCTAACTTTTTCGGCTTCGATTGTCAAAGTATAAACTCTTCAACAAATGCAAACACAACAGTCTCCGATCAAGGTTCAGTTACAATTAGTGATGAATATATCGAATTTTTATTATCACTAGATTCTATTATTGAATATGACATCACTTCAAACCCAGTTTTCACAGCCAATTTAACAGATCGATGGAATAGGGTAAACTCTGCAGACAATTCATCAATCTCTATATTTTCACAACTTATAAACAATGCAACTATTATTTTAACAATAGAAGAGGTTAAACAAACAAAAAACTTTTCATTTGCAGATAATAACTTTACAATATATTCAGGAGGTATTAAAATTTCAATTAGTATTTCAAATTGGCAATATTCAAGTAGTTTAAATTATCTACAACTTGTACTTAAATCCGCCATAGATGATAAAGAATTAAAAAATGTAGACAATAATGATGATTGTGTGGAACAAACTGTAATTGAATCGGAATCAAATACTCAATCTTTAACCGATAATGTAAATTATTTAAAGATATCGAAATATGGCAAATCCTTATATGGTAGATTCCAAAACAAAATGTTATCAAATTTGAGATCAACTTTAGTCATTACTAAAATCAAATCAAAAAACAATGGTGTTGTTATTTTAACAATTGATTTACCACATTGCAATGAATGTGTCTTAGATCCAGGTATGTACAATTTATAATCTATATCTTAATATTAGACCCCCACTCATTTTTTTTAAATAATATAATAGATTTTTCTGTTTTAGTCAATCCCAGTTCAAAAACCGAAATTTGCAAAGATAAAAAGAAATGGTTATTGGCAATTGTGATAATAGTGCCCGTGGTTGTTGTTGGTGCGATAGTTGCTATTTCAGTGTTGTATTATTTAAAATTTAAAAAAGAAAAAATTTTCAAAAATAAAATGGTGGAACTAAATAAACTCAATAAAAGCAACTGAAAAATAAAAAAAATTTTAAATAATCAATAATAAAAAATAAATATCATAATAAATAATCATTCACAAAATAAAAAAAAAATCATTTTCACCACAAAGATATTTTTGATATAAAAGCCATTAATTAAAAAAAAAAAAAAAATCTATTGCAAAAATTTGTCATCATCATCCAATAAGATTTTTATTTTTTTTTTTTTTTTTTTTTTTTTTTAATAGAACAACAATATAAATATCCAAATATTTTCTTTTTTTTTTTTTTTTAAATAAAAAAAACACAACCAATATGTTAATATATAATTTATTTATATATATATTTTTAATTATTTATATTTCAAAAGTTTATTCTGTATCACCAAATCCAGATGATTGTAATATAATTTTAAAAAAAATATATAATTTATTTATTTTTTAATTAATATTTATTTTTTTTTTTTTATAAAATTTTTATTTTTTTTATTATTATTTTTTACAACATATCGCAGTGGAATGCCTAAATAATTTAAATACAAAATATGATACAGGGAAATATGACAATGCTAATTATTGTTCTGGTAATCCATTTTGCACAGAAGATGGAGATATTACATTTTTGTAAGTATATTTTATATTTTAAAAAAAAAATAAAAAATATTTACAAAATATTTTATTTATGCAGATCGGTAACCTCAAAAAACCAAAACTTACTTTCATGGGCAGAGTTAGAATGCTTACCAAATTTAAAAAAACTGATGCTAACCAGTTTTAATTTAGTTGATAACTTCATTTATGATCGTCCCAGTAATATTTCTGTTCTGTAAGTACTATTAGCATTATTAATATTATTTTTCCTTTATTAATAATATTTTTTTTTAGATACCTTTATAACATATCAAATATTGTAATAGATAATGAACTACCAAACCTTGATACTCTTGAAATAGACTCTAATATCAATCTCGAAATTAAATCTAATTATCTTAAAAATGTTAGACTTTTGTAAGTACCCCTATTTTTTTATAATTTTTTTCCATTTTTATAGAAACTAATAAAAAAGTAGTTCTTTTAATAGTGTAAACGGGTATGCAAATATTTTGCCATCAGACGAGCCATTTGAAAGTTTAACTTGGTCAATACGAATAACATCGGATTACTATCCAGATTTAACATATTTCCCAAACTTAAGAAATTTTTTTATTACACAGTACAGTAGAACTGACCCGATGAAAAATCCAAATAACATAGCTACCTTTTCACACTCTGAATCAATTATTTTTATGATTAGAAACTCCACCTTTCCATATCAACTAATGAAAGTTCCCAATCCTAAATTTAAATATTTGTAATTATTTCTTTTTTTATTTTAATTATTAAATATTACTAATACATAATATTATAAAGAGAACTTACATTTTATGGTATTCAAGATTCAAATGAACCAATAGATTTTTCAAATGTAAAATATAAAATTGGGACACTGTGAGTTATTTTTTATAATGATATTTTCTTTTAAAATTAAATATTAATTTTTATATTAAATATAAGGAAAATAACTTTGATGGAGCAAGCAAATATATCATTGAAGAAACTAACTGACTCTGATATTGATACAGTGTAAATATTTTATATTTATTAATAAATAATTAAAAAAATTTTACTATGGCTAACTTTATAAAAAGAAATTTAAGAGGATCAATTAAAATTTTAGATTTTCAAGTATTTAAAAATGTATCAGTAGTGTTATCGCTTTCCAAATTAAACCTAACTATTAAAAGTCTAACAGGATATCAAATTAAAAGTATAGATATGAGAGATAATAATTTAAGAGGCTCATTAGACCCCACTTATTGCAACGTTGATTTTAATTTCAATACAAACAATTTAACAGGTCCTATTCCAGATTGTATAAGATGTTATATTAATGACATTTCAGTTCGTGATAAAATAGCTTCCAACCCAATTTTAAATCAAATACCACAATCATGTTCATTAGGTAAATATAATATAGATAAGTAAACTATTATAAAATTGTATTAATTTTTTATTAAAATAAAAACAGATAAAATCATCCCAAATATTTACTACAACTCGAGTGATGAAAAAGTTTATTTGTATGGTCAAAACTTGGGTTTTTATTCAAACACTATTAAAACTGTTCCAGCAATAGAGTTTGAAAAGGTTATACCAAGCAGTTTATTTATAGGGAAATTTACCAACCAAGCCGAAGCAGATGGTAAAAAATTAATATCAGTTTTATTTTATTCCGTTGGATATAACTATACTCTTCCACTCTTCAGCCCAGAACCACCAAAAGCTGATTCAATTATTCAAGCCAATGATGTATTAATATTGAGTGGATCCTATTTTTCCTATAACAAAAGTGAAGTTGTAATAACTATTGGTGATACTTCCCATTGCATTGTTACCAACAGTACATTTTTTCAAATTCATTGCACTTTAAAACAAGTTGAAAAAAACCAAGAAACCATTGTTTCCATTCAAATTAAAAACCTCTCTTCCAAATTTCAAACATATATTTCACAAATATCATATGAATGTATTAAACCTGACTGTGATGGAAATGGGGAATGTAACCATTATAATGGCCAATGCGAGTGCTATAAAGGATGGATAACAAAACCCAACCAAACATGTGACACTCCAGATCATTATTTATATTCAAATAGTCAAGTGGAATCTACAACTGGTGGAATAATAAAACTATATGGTTGGTACGGATACCCAAACAATCAACTCAGTGTTATTATCGGGAATCAAAACTGCCAGATTGGATTTCAAAATGCATCTTTAATTGAATGTAAACTTAATGGAGGAAGTGGTCTAAAGTCAATTAAAATTACCCAAAATGGTATTGAATGGAGTGGATCAATATATCCATACTATGACCCATCCTTCCTTTGTCCCAGTAATTGTGGTGCCCCATCCAAAGGTAAATGTAATACCAAAACAGGCGAATGTGTATGTGAAACAAACTATTTCGGTTTCGATTGTCAAAGTACAAACTCCTCATCAAATACAAACACTACAATTTCTGATCAGGGGTCGGTGGTTATTAGTGATGAATATATTGAATTTTTATTATCTATAGATTCAATTATAGAATATGATATCAATTCGAAAATCGTATCAATCGGAAACTTAACAAACCAATGGAAGAAACTTAACAATTCAGACGACCCCAATATTTCTATTTTTCTTCAAGAAAAATACAATGCAACCATTTTATTAACCGTTGAAGAGGTTAAACAAACAAAAAACTTTTCGTTTGCAGATAATAACTTTACAATATATTCAGGAGGTATTAAGATTTCAATTAATATCTCAAATTGGCAATATTCCAGTAGTTTAAATTATCTACAACTTGTACTTAAATCCGCCATAGATGATAAAGAATTAAAAATTGGAAACACAGATTGTGTGGAACAGACAGTTATTGAATCAGAGTCGAATACTGAATCTTTATCTGACAGTGTTAATTATTTAAAGATATCGAAATATGGCAAATCCTTATATGGTAGATTCCAAAACAAAATGTTATCAAATTTGAGATCAACATTAATTACAACTAAAATCAAATCAAAAGACAATGGTATTGTTATTTTAACAATTGATTTACCTCATTGTAATGAATGTATATTAGATCCCGGTAAATATTATATTATATTTCAAAGCTAATTCATATACTGTTATTAATTCTTAATTTATTTTTAAAATCTTAGACTTTTCAGTTTTAATCAATCCAAGTTCACACACTGAAATTTGCAAAGATAAAAAGAAATGGTTATTGCCAGTTGTAATAGTAGTCCCAATTGTTGTTGTTTCTGCAATAGTAGTAGCATCTGTAGTATATTATTTACAAATTAAAAAAGAAAATAGATTTAAAAACAAAATGGTGGAATTAAGTAAATACAATAAAAACTAAAAAATAAAAATTTGGAAAGAAAAAAAAAAAAAAAAAAGAAATATTTTATTTTAGATTACTATTTTTATTTACATTTTAATTTTATTTTATGTTATTTATTTTATTTTACATTATTGACCAAAACACCCAATTCTTCAATTTCACATTTAATATTATCACCAGATTTTAAAAAGATGGCAGGTTTACGGGTAAAACCAACACCGCTTGGTGTACCAGTAAATATAATGTCACCTGGTTGTAATGTCATATAAGATGAAAGATAGGATATAACTTTTTGAACATTGAAAATGAATTCTTTGGTTGTTGAATTTTGAACGACTTGGCCATTAAGAGTGCATTTAATGGAGAGCGAGTTTGGATTGAAATAAATATCGTCAGTTAAAGCGGCAATATCGGGATTAACAATAATAGCTGGACCAATTGGGGCAAATGTATCACATGACTTTCCTCTTAACCATTGTCCACCATTGTTTCTACCAAGCTGAAGATCACGAGCAGATATATCATTACCGATAGTATAACCGGCAACATAGTTTAATGCTTCCTTTTCTGAAACGTTTTTACATTGTTTTCCCATGACCACCACCAATTCTACTTCGTAATCTACTTGATCTGTGTCCTTTGGTAACACTATATCATCACCTTGAGATGCAATTGAATTATTAAACTTTGAAAAGATAATTGGTTCTTGTGGAATTGGCATTTTAGATTCAATAGCATGTTCTTTATAATTTAATCCAATACAAATAATCTTTTCTGGGTTATCAATTGGTGCTTTTAATTTAACATTTTCTACTGGAATTCTTTTATTATTAAAATTATTTAAAACCTTTATATTAAAAAAAAAAAGATTAATAAACCGCTTTTTTTTAGTTTTTTAAATTTTTAATGAAAAAAAAATAAATAAAAATAAATAAAAAAAAAAAAAAAGAGCGAATACTTACACTAATAACTTTTGTCCATTTATCATTACTTGTTGATGATAAAAATGATTTCATATCACTTGGAATTGATTTATCGGCCAAGCATAGATCGACAATACTATTTTCGAGAAGTGCACCAAGTCTTTTAACACCGCTGGTTTCGAATGTGACCAATTTGATTAAACCAAAATTTGCTCTATTCATTTTAGAATTAAAATATATAAATTAATTAATATAAACTGATTAACTGTGTGGAAAGGGGGTGATTAAATGTTATTTAAAGAAACAATGATTAAAATTAAAGAAACAATAATTAATCATTAAATATGGAAAATAAAAAAAGATTTAATAAACTATAAATAATATTATTTATTTATTTATTTATTTATTTATTTATTTATTTAGCTGAGTTGTTTGCGTTGTTTTTTTAAATAAAACAATTTTAATTTACTTTTTATTTATATTTTTTTTTGTCATTTTTATTCGTATCCTTTTTTTTTTTTTTAAATTTTTTTTTTTTTTAATTAAATTTTTTTTTTTTATTGGGAAAAAAATTAAAACCACACATAAATATTGTATAAACTAAACTTAATTAACTGCAGAAATAAAGATTAAAATCTAAATCTTTTATTCTTTTAAATGAAAATAATTTTATTATAATAATGTAGAGTATAAAAATTTATGTTATTAAAAAAAATATATATTATCAGCTTATCCCCAGTGTGTGTTTTTTATTTTTTATTTAATTTTCTTTTTTTTTTTTTTTTTTTAAATTTTTTTTGGATGTATCTCAATGTACACACAAAAATAAACACACACAATTTAAAAATATTTTACACACATATCGTGCATATTCGATGTGATTTATTTATATTCTCCCTTTTTCTATTTCAAGTGTTTTTTATAATAATAATAGATTGAAAAATTAAATAAAAAAATCAAAAACGAAATTAAATATTACCCCCCAATTTATGTGTTAAAAAAAATATTTATTTTAAAATAATAATAATTTAATATCTGAGTTTCGTTTGTTTATCTATATATGTTTTATTTCAGTCAAATTTTTGTATTCAAACAATTATTTAATTTAATTTAATTTTTAATTTTTTTATTTTATTTTTTGCTCTCTATTAAAACAATTATAGATTCATTATTTTCGATGTAAATGTCTCTATCAATTGATATTATTTTAAAATTACGTAATTTCATTCAAATAATTAATTAAAAATTTTTTTTTTTTTAAAATAATAAAAAAAATAATTATAATAAAATTTCATTTTAAAATAAAAGTGTATAATAGCAGTAATATGTTTTTTGGTACTACATAAAAATAATATTATTATTATTATTTTTTTTATTCTTTATTTTTTTTTTATTCTTTATTTTTTTTTTTCATTATTATAATGATCTAATTTTAAATTTAAACAATAACAATAAAACACCAAAAAAAAACAAAAAGCATAAATTATTATAATAATAAAATGTAATCATATTTTAATTTTATTTATTATAATAATTTAAAATTTTAGAAATATAGAAATTATATTTACAATTGAATAATTAATGATAGTTGTTTTATAAAAAAAAATATATTTTTTAAACATATATAGTAACTTTGCACATTATAATAAAATTTTCATTACACATTAATTATTTTTAATTTCTTAAAACTAAAAAGATTGTTTTAACCAATATTCTATTTACAGGCATATAGAAATAATAAATAAAAAAATAATTTTAAAACATACAAAATAATAATAAAAATAATAATTATATTTTAGTAAGCGTATAAATTTTAAAAATTAATAATTAATAGTATTATTATTATTATTACTTATTTTTATTTATAATTTATAAATTTTTTAAATTAATTATTATTTTATTATTCTAATTTTATTTCTTTGTTACTATTATTTTCATTATTTTCGTTATTGTTGGTGTTGCCATCGTCTTCTCTCTTTCTCTTTTTATCGTCTTCATTTATATCTTTATTATTGTTATTATTATTTTTTGAATTAGCTTCTTGAATTTCACCATCTTCTTTATTTAATTTTTTATCACTATCTTCATTATATCTTTCAAATAATACAACCAATTCTACTAAATCTGTGTGAGGGAAAAGATCGAATGCTATGGCTTTAGTTGGTATAAATGGTGTTCCTTTCATTGCCTTTGAAATACCTTTACAGAGTTTAATTGAATCTTGAACGAGTGATTTTTGATTACATGAAACATAAACTAATTTTTTCATTGGCTCGAATGAACGAATTGCTTTAAGTACATCATTGTGTAAACCAGATCTTGGTGGATCGACGATACCAATAAACTCTTCATCTTTTGAAAATTTAGTGAGCATTGATGGTAATGTATCTTCAGCCTTGCCTAATGTATATTCAGCATTGGTGATATTATTGAGTTGGGCATTTGAGATTGAATCGGTGATAGCATCTGGTGAAATTTCTAAACCGGTGATGCATTTTACTTTTTTACTTGCGCATTGACCAATTGTACCTGTACCACAACAAACATCTAAAAGATGAGTATTCTCGCTAACTCCGGCCCATTCTAATACTTTAGAGTAGAGAAGCTCTGTAGCTTTTGTGTTAACTTGGAAAAAGGCATTTGGTGAAACACGGAAGGTATAACCCAAAAGTTTTTCGTGAATATAATTTGGACCCATAATAGTTTCAGTTGGTAAATCTACTGGTGCAGCATTTGAAATACCATCATATAATTGAATTGATAAAGAGGTCAATTGTTTATCGGCTGGTAAAGATTCAAAGAATTTCTTTAAATTGTCCTTTTCCTTATTGATTTCTTCTTCACTTAAACCCTTGTGGTTAAATTGAACAGTTGCCATTGATTCACCAGTGCTGAAATCTCTAACGGTTAATTGACGCCAAAAACCCTCGTGTGTATTCTTATCGAATGGCTTACGTGGATGTGAGATGATGTAATCGTTGAATAAACGACGAATTTCATTTGAACGAGTTGAGATTAATGGTGCATTGGATGGATCGGCAACAATGGTAACACCATTACCAGTACGTCCTAATGCAAAACCAACACATGGAACATTATTTTCATCTAAACCGATGGTATATTGAGCTTTATTACGATAGTTTTGAATAGTGGGTGATGCAATGATTTCTTCTAATGGACAACACATCTTTTCTTCTCTAGTTTTGTCACGTCTTTCCAACCAAAATGGCAGATTATGTAAACTGTCTTTTCTAGTTTCACTCTTTATATTGATTAAAATATTTATAATTTGTTCTTTCTTCTTTTGCAATTGCTCTTCATATGGTATATTGTACCATGGACATACAATCTCTTCAATTGTCTTTAACTTGCTTTCTCTGTCATCATTTTGTTCATTGAATTTTCTTTTCATTCTATCTGCTTTTTCTTCTTTAATTTCACATTTTAATTTTTTAGTTCCCATTTCAAAACCATTTAATTTTTCTAAAAACTTATCTCTAACTTCAACTGACTGGATTATATAAAATAGTATTATAAGTATTTATAAGAAAAGGTTGATATTTAAAATAAATATTCTATACTTACATCAAAACTAATAACACCAAAAGATTCTTTAACTATCTTTTTTGTTTTCTTGTATGGCACCTTATTTTGTTCTAAAAATTTATTGAATTTCTTTAAATCCATATATTTTGGTAAATTAAAAAGAACTAAACTGAATAGTGTGCTGTTTGGGACATGAATTTTATCTGTAGATTCTTCTTGTTTATTTTCGTTTAAATCTGTGTTGGTGGTTGTGGTTGTGGTGGTTATTGGTTGTTCATTATTTATATCTTTTTCAACTTTATTTATTTCTTCATTATTATTATTATTATTTGTGGTTGTATCTGCGATAGCATTAGTTGTTTCCATTTTATTACTATTCAGTTAAATAAAAGAAAATAAAAAAACAAAAATAATTTCACAACCCCATAAAAACGAAAAAATTAAAAAAAAAAAAAAAAAATTAAAAAAAAAAAATTAAAAAATAAATATTTATAATTATTTTTTTATGGCAAATTAGAAGAAAATGAAAAAAATCGTGTGTGGGTTCTAATATTTGGTGTATGAATAATATTGGTCCACTTTGTGATCAATGAATCATATTTAAATAAACACAAATACTCTAAAAGCTTTTTCAATGACACAAACACACAAATAATCAAATTCACAAATAAAATAAAATTAAAAAGTAATCTATTTTTAGTATTGATTTTTTTTCATTTTTTTTGAATTTGTGTTTTTAAATTTAAAAAAAATTGTTTGTTTATTAACTTATTTTATTATTTATTATTTAATTTTTATCTTGAACATTTTGGACATAAACATTTAAAACCATATTGAGATAAAAGTAATTGTTTTCTTTCTTTTGTTGGTAAATTTTCGTCGCAGTAACTATGAAGAATTTCAGATCCAGCTGGAATAAGTTTTTTAGCTTTAACCACCATTTTAACACGATCAACACCATCTTGAATTTCGTTGGAGATTTCTATATTTGGTAAACAAGAGTGATTCATACATGAGAAAATTGGGAATAAACCAACACCCCAGCATTGGTCTTCTTGTACTCTGGTTTTTGATTTGGTGATTGTTTTTTTACCACTTTTTACTTGAACATTTTCTACAATATTAACTTTATTTCCTGATTTAATTACGGTTGATGTTGAGTTAAAATTAATCATACCTAATAAATTATCATAAAATTCTAAACTAAATACTATAATAATAGTAATAATATTGTTAATATTTTATTTTCTTTAATAAATTTATATATATAATACATGCATTTCTTAAACTCTTGTGATAATATATTATTTTCTAAATCTTCTTTTAATTTTAAGCCATATTGCTCTTCTAATAATGATAATAATGGTTGATATTGCTTTTGTAAATCTCCTAAGTTTTTACCATTGAATGAGGGTTGTTGGGCCATTAATGATGTTCTTTTTAAATGAGTGACGCTACCTAATGCTAAATTACAGTTCTTTACTTTTTTGGTTTTTAAAAGATAGCTAATCATCGAAATAATTGATTCTGCTAATAAAAGTTGTGTTGAAGTTGGTGCGTTCTCTACCATTTTTCTATATTTATAAATTGGGTTGTTTTCAAGTGATTTTTTATCACTTAAATTTAAACATGATTGGCTGTGGTATGGTATTGAGTCTTGTTTACATTTTTCGCTACAATATTGATAGTTGCATCCTTTGCCGCCGCACTTTATAATGGTTGTTTCGCTTGTGTTGATAAATTTAATACAATGGCTGCAGATCTTGGTAAAATGATTGTGCAAGCTATCGACTGATAACTGATGACAATATGGTAAATCTGAAAATACTATTTCACCTTTTTGAATAGTTTCTTTTGCAAATAGTGCTTTTTCTTTAACGTTATCTAAATATTTAATTTCTACACGGTTATATAACTCTGGTGAACTTTCTAAAATTGGTTGATAGAATTGTTTCATTTTTGAATTTAAAAGGCCATTTTCTGCCGATGCTAATAATGTTTTGCTTGATTCATCGTTGGTATTGATGTTTTTAATGCACATTAAATAATTCTCTTTGGCCTCTTTGTATAACTTTAAACCAATATAGGATTCACCTGCTCTGAGGAATGCTTTGGCTGAATTTGGATTGCTTTCAATAGCTTCCAATGCTGATTTTAATGACTCTTCATATTTCTTTAATTGGATATATGATGTCGATATATTACATTTTAAAATTGATAATAATTCATTATTTCCACCATTTTCATTGGATCCCAATTCCTCAATTCCTTGTTTGTATAATTCAATTGCTTTTTCATAATCGCCTTTAACATAAAATTGATTACCTAAATCTTTTAAACTGGGTGATGATGATGAACTGGTCATTTCTTCTTATAAAAAAAAAATCTTTAAACAATAATATTATATTAAAGAGTAAAAATAAAACTAATTAAAAAAAAAAAAAATTATTTCGTTTTTTTTTTTTTTTAATTTTTTTTAATTTTTTTTTTAGTTTTTTAGTTTTTTAGTTTTTTTAGTAAAAGATATTAATATTAAATATTAAATATTAATAATATTATTAATTTTATTTATACTATATTTTTATTTAAATTGAAGAGCCCTCTAATTGCTCCATTAATTTTACCAAAATTGGATTACCGCCCAACCCTTCAATTTGTTTTAAAATTTTCTCTCTTAAACCCTTTAATACATTTTTTGTGTATTCGAGCGAACCCATTGATTTAATATAGTCCAATGCATGTTGCTTAACTGATCTATCTTCTGTTTTTTGTTTAAGAATTCTTAATAGTCTATTATCATTTGTGTCTGCATTGATGGCATGTATAATTGGGAATGAAAATTTACCTTCTGAAATATCTTCACAAAAACTTTTATTTTGATGATACTAATAATAAAGAAAAACTATTAATAAAATAAACTAAAAATTATATTTTTACTTGAATATCAACAACATACATCTTCAGAATCTAAATTTATTAAATCATCTCTAATTTGATAATACATTCCCAAATCTTCAACAAGTTCTATATAGTTTGTTTTATTTTCGCTAAAACATTGTAATAATCTTAAACCTAATCTAAATAAGCCTCCAGTTTCTATATCAAATGAATGATTAGTTATTTATTTTATATCATCAAATATTTGTATAAATTATGAGTGAAATACAAACTTTCGTTAACCATTTTCATGTACTCTTGTTCGGATGGTGATTTGTTTGTATCTCTCCAAAGAATGTCATAACCTTGACCTCTGTGTAATCTTATTACCTCTTCAATGAAAATTGAGGTAGCTTCTGGGCTTCCTAGCCTATTACAGTCATTGAAAATTAAGAAATACACAAAATTTGCTGAATTAATAGTTTGTGGGATACCATAGATTGAATGTGCTACAGGTTTACCTCTTCTTAGTTTTGAATTATCTTCAATATCGTCAATCCTAAAAGAATGGTTATTATTATTAATATCATTGTTATTATTTAAACTAATATTATAATAAATTCCGCATATATTAATTATTTATTCCATCGACGCTTTCTATTTATTTTTAATGTAATACATACAATAAACTTGAGACATGTAAACCTTGGACAACTTGACTTATATCTTTAACTCTTTCATCACCCACCTTTAACCAAAAGTCGAATGATTTTATTAAAGTATTTCTAAATCCTTTACCTGATGACTCGCATATATATGAGTATGGTTCAAGTAATTGAAGGTCTGATTTATCTAATGGATATGTAAATTGCATTTTTTATATGATATATATATGTATTGTAATGTGTGTATATTATTACTGCAAATATAATATGCTTATTTAATATTATATATGTATATTATTTACAAATGAAAATAAAATAAAATGAAATGAAGGGTGATGTTTTTAAAAAAAAAATTTGATTTGTTTGAAAAACACAAAGTATTTATAAATATATATGTGGTGTTTTTTTTAAAAAAAAAAAAAGATATAAAAAAGTATTTACAAAAATAGATTTCTTTTTTTTTTTTTATATTTATTTATTGGTCTTAAATATTATAATTTACAGAAATAATTTTTTATTTTAATAATTTATAATTTTTTTAAATCCCAAAAAAAAAATTAAAAAAAATAAAAAAAAATAAAAAAAAATAAAAAAAAAAATAAAAAAAATTTCAAACACAAATATTCTTTGAAAAAAATTGCAATAATTTTTAAAAATGACCCAAGTTTCTCTCTTGTTGTCTCTTGGATTCATTCTTTGCGATTATAAAAGAGAGGTATTTCTCTCAGTAAAATATGGTTTGTCCTTTTGTTTACATTCAATAAAGAAAATCTCAAAAAAATAAACTTTTGTTTTTGACAAAGAAATAAAAAAAAAAAAAAAAAAAGTTTTAGATTTTATAGATGCGATAAATTGTTTATATTTATTAATTTTTATTGTTCTTCTGTTATTTGTTATTTTTAATTTTTTTAAAAAAAAAAAAAAAAATATTTTAAAAAGTTTTTTTTGTAAAAAAAAAAAAAAAAGAAAAAATTTATAGATTATCAAATGTTTATATTGGTAAAAACTTGAATCTATAGAAGTGGGTAAAGATGAAGTTTGAGAAATTTGGGAGTTTTATGTATTATGCCATTATTGTTATCTATTTTTGTTTTTTTGTTTTTGGTTTTTGGTTTTCAATTTTTTTTTTTTTTTTTTTTTTTTCTATTAAAATTTTTGTTGTTGTTAATTATTGGTGTTAAATTATTTATTGAAGGGATTCCCAATCATCACAAACATCAACATTTTGTTCATTTGATCTTCTTAATAAACGATTAGTACTCGAGTTATTTGTGCTGTATGATAATGGTACATTTGGTTTATCAGTGTTATTGTTATTATTTATGTTGGTTTGTATATTGGCAGAATCTAAAAATGAAAATCTGTTCATTTGTTGAGACATCTTATAAAATTCATTGGTTTCTGAAGATTTGTTCAAGTTTGTTGAAGATGGAATGGTTGTAGTGGTTGTAGCTGTTGGAATTGTAATATCTAAAAGTGATGTATCATCTTTATAAATTTCGAATGTGAAAATAGTTTTAATTTGGGAGGCTTGTGAAAAACTGAATGGATCCCCAAATACAACTATACAATTTGATTCATCTACCCAAATTACTTTATATTTTCCTTCAAATTCTTGTAATAAATTTGTGATGTGTTCAGTTTTAATAGTTTGATCTAAATTTCTAAAGATTAAAGCTGTACCATTTTCTGGTTCATTTTGTTGATCTTGTTGGGATACCATGGATGGGTTTAGTGAAATTGCAGCATAACTTTGACCACTTATTGTAAACATTTGGTTTGAAGGATTACTGTCACCAGAAATAGTTTCGCTTAATCTTGGTGATGGTAATTGATAAGCTGGTTTCTTAAAGAATTCAATGTGATTTAATTGTTTCTTCTCTCTGTATTTCATTTGATAAAACTTGGCCATTTGTACTAAAATAAAACATGTGATTGGGTCGGTGTATTTTATGGTTTGTTTTAATAAATTTGAATTGATGAAATCTTCATAGATGGTTTCTATTTTTTTGATGATCTTTGGTGAAACTTTAGCGATCATTTGTAATGGCTCTAATTGCAATTTGTTTGGAGCATAGTCATTTGAATTTGGATCCAATGATGTAAATGTTGGTTGTGATTGTTGTAGTTGTGACTGAGGGTCCAATGAATGTGGTGTGGTATGGGCTCCAAAGAATGCTTCTTTAAGTTGTTTTTCTCTTTCTTCCTTTTCACAAACTTCGTCACACTCTAATGATCTACTATCATCTTTTCCTATGCAAACAGTCTCAACAGATCTTCTTTTGCATAAACAATAAATTCTAACTTTTTGTTTGCAAGTAACAATTGGACATGGCTCGCCAGGGTGGCATTGTGAAAAGCATTGATGATCACAAGTTGATAGTGGCATACCACATAAATAACCACATGTTAAGTTTGTCATTAGACTGTCTAATGAATCTTCAGAGTCTGATCTATTAATGGCAGTTGATGATGATTCATTATTAGTTGAGTGATCGTGACTGTGATCGTGGTTACATTCATGAACATCCTCATGAGAGTGTTCACTATCGTGACTGTGATCGTGGTCATGATTACATTCATGCTCTTCATTTGTTGATGATTTAATTTCTTTATCTTCATCTTCACTATCACTCTCACTATTAATAATGATTGATGGTGAAGTGGTAGTTGTTGTTGTTGTTGTAGTAGTTGTTGTAGTTGCTGTAATTGGTGATTGAATTTTATTTATAGTTCTTTTAATTAAATTTGCACTTTGTAATGGTTGTGGTTTGTTACCAACTAATGGTTGTGCTGGTAATATACATGGACCACTATGACAAATACGTGGACATGTGTGGGTTAAACAGCTTAAGATTTTACCACAAACTCTACCACATGAAACCTCAGAAGTGCTACACTTAACACTCTTTTGAATTTGATGACCACCTGCACATATTCTATCAACTAAAGCTGTGCATGGTGGACAGTTACCAGAGTGACACTTATGTTCCCAAACTTCATTGGTATGGCCACATTCACGTTTAAAACTGCATGGATGGTTGCACATTGGTGGTTTAGTGCCACATGGTACTGGTGGTTGAATAACAGTTTTACCACATGGACAAGAAAGCTCTTCATAGGAGTTAACATAGCAATTATAACATTTTCCAGAATGACAGAGTTGTTGACATTTGTGAACACCACATTTCAATTGTTTACCACAAACTAAAGTGCAAACATGATTACCAGCTTCATCGTGGGTTGGGGTTGATGGGCAGCATTTGATACCACATTCATGACGTTTACAGGATCTAAGAACCCTACAAACATTACCACAGGTAAATGCACCACCTGATGACATATTTTGTTGAACAAGACCGCATTGTCTATTTTCTGTAGTTTTGCCACAACGACAAATCGACTTTACTTTAACTTTGCATGGTGCACAAGGTCCATTATGGCAACGATCAGGGCATGAGTGTTGTCTACAAGCTAAAAGATTAGAGCAAACCTTTTTACAATTTGGGATTGGATCAAGGCATGAAGATCTGACAACACCAAGTTCTTGGAGTGAGGTTTGTTTACAATTACAACGTTGAATCATTGATGGTACCAATTGGCAAGGATCACAAGGGCCTTGATGACAAGTTTTGGTGCATTTATGATTACCGCAGTCTAGAGTACGATCACACTTTTCATTGCAGCTATAATAACGTGGTTCGCCTTGAGATTCATCAGAATTTCCTGAACCACATGGCTTAGATTCAATATGTTTACCGCAGTAACATTTTTGTGTTTCTGTTACCTCACAGGGTGTGCAATTCCCTGCGTGGCATTGTTTCTCGCAGCTATGATTACCACAGGCCAATGGTTTTTGGCATTTATTTTCGCAAACTTTTCCTTTGTCAACTTCGCCACATAATAAACGATATTGTGTTTTACCACAATAACAATTTTTTATATCACCTAAAGCTGAACAATTTAAGCACGGACCTGGATGGCAAAGCATTGTACAAGAGTGGGGACAATTTGATTTGGCACGTAATTTACCACAAACTTCACCACATGAATGAGCTAGATTATATGGATTATATTGAGGGTCTTTAGCTTTACCACAAAAACATTTTGATTGATCTGGTTTAATCTCGTGATTGAAACGACATCCTGGGCATTTCCATTTACCTTCAGAATTTGTTGATTTGGAAGACCATAGTTTGATACAACTTAGATGAAACATTGTAAAACATTCTGTGCAACTCCATATAGATGCGTTTTTTCCAATACTTTCAAAACATACCATACATTCATATGAATTACTTTGAATTTTACCAATCATTTGAATTGCTAATGGTGTATACTCTGAATTCTTTTCATCATTTTCATTAAATATAAATTTGGTTTTTTTAGTTGGTTTATTATTTGTTGTTGTTGTGGTTGCTGTGGTATTGGCTCTTGCTAAGTTTTCTTTAGCTCTATTTTTTGCGAATTTATTTAATAAATTAATATCTTCTTTATTTTTATTACTATCATTATTATTACTATTATTATTATCTTTTGGTTGTTTTATTTTTTCTTTTTTATTATTGTTTTTATCATTTTGTTTTGGTTGTGGTTGTGGTTGTGGTTGTGGTTGTGGTTTTGGTTGTGATTGTGATTGTGATTGTGGTTGTGATTGTGGTTGTGATTGTGATTGTGGTTTTTGGTCTCTTGGCTTTCTTTCTCTTTCTTTTCTTTCTCTTGGTTGTCTTTGTTGTGTTTTGCTGTTTACATCTTTGTTTTCAATATTATTTATATTATTTATATTATTTATATTATTATTTATAGTATCATTATTAACAATATCATTATTTTTAGTTTTTGGAACAAATGATGCTGATCTAGGATTAAGTTTGGTTGGGCTGCTATATAACTCTTGTTGCCAGTTTAATGGTTCTTTTTCTTTTTCCTTTTGTTTTTGACGTTCTTCAGATTTTAATGATTCTGAAATATCTGCAGGTGTAAATAAAATAATTTCATCTGATTCTTTAATATTTTTAATAAAGTTAATATTGTTAAATTCTAAATTTTCATTTAATATATAGATTTGATGATTAATTGTTAAATTACCTGATGAAAGACCTGAAGTCGAACTATTACTATTAGATGATGCTGATGCTGTATTTATTGGCATTTCTCTGTGTCTATTGTTGTTATATCTACGATTATTATTATTATTATTACTATTTCTTGGATGGTGATGATTTTGTTGTTGTGGGGAATTAAAATTATTTACACTACTATTTACAAAATTATTATTATTATTACTACTAAAACTATTATAGTTATTAATATTGTTACTAATACTATTTATATTATTAGTATTAGTTTGTGTTGTAGTTGTTTTGGTTTCAACTGGAGATTGAGACTCCATTTTTTATTTTTATTTTTTTTTATAAAAAAAAAAAAAAATTAAAAATTATTTGTTTTTTCCAATTCGGGTTTTTTTCTCTTATATTTATTATTCTTTTTTCTATGTTATATACAAAAAATTAATTCTGAAAAATTATATTATTATTATTTCTTAATATCTTCTCTCTTTTTCTAAAAAAAATAAAAAAAAAAATTTTTTTTTTTTTTTTTTTTTTAATATTTTTTTTTTTTTTAATTTTTTATTTTATTTTTTAAAATAATTATTATAAAAAAAAAAATAAAATAAAATAAAAAAAAAAAATAAAATAAAAAAAATGGGTTAAATTGAAATTAAATAACCTATTAAATCCAAATTAAAAATTTTTAATAAGAAAAAAAATAGAAATTTAAAGTAAAAGAAAATGGTTTTTATCAAAAAAATAAATAAATAAAAAAAGAACTTTCCATAATTAAGAAAATAAAAAAAATAAAAAAATAAATTAAAAAAATTCTTATTTTGTACAGTTTTATTATAAAATCTTTATTTTTATACAATATTATATTTTTAGAATTTGTAATAATATAATTGATAAAAATATTAAAAATGATGGTGATGTTGAACTACCATTATTGATCACTTCACTACTACTATTTTCATCAATTTCTTTACCATCTTTGAAGTGAACAGTGGTTTTTGTTGTTGGTACATCGTTTACCTCCATTTTTCCTTTTGAATCGATACTGCATTTAACATTTGAGGAAGTACATTCTATGGATGTACCATAACAAGAAATTGAGCTATTGGATTTGGGTGTTACACAAGTTACAATTCCATTGGTATTACGAGTACACTCTATATGGTTATTATTATCAACACACTTGCTAGCACTATAGGCTGTACAATTAACCGATGTAAAGCTTCCAACTGTTAATCCATTTCCTTCATTTCTGCAAAATATATCACCAGACTCTTGGTTAGAGGAGCTACTATTACTGCTACCGGCACTGCTATCATTACTACTAATTTGAACTATTACGCATCTACTATCTATACATTCATATCCATTTAAGCATTTTTCATTGCATATACTTGAGTTATAATAAAGCATATTGGTTCCTGTAAAAACTAAAGCTTTATCCGTAGTATTATAAATCCTTATATCTTGTGGCCCTCCATTAGAAACCTCTTTCACTGTACCTTGGAAATTTGTAGAATTTATAGAACTAATATTTATCGAATTATTAAAATCCATTCCAATAACAAAAGTTAAATCCAAGTAGCTTGGTTCATCGCCAAACCATCCACTGCCATCAATAACACCTAAAAATTAAGAAACAAAGAAAAAACTATTAATATCAACAATCAATTAAAATTATTTAAATATATTTACCTCCATTAATTGAAACTTGTATTTTATAATCTATTGCAATAGGTGAGAGTTCAGTACAGTGTTTACCTTGATACTTTCTATTGCAATAGCAGATGTTATTATAAAAGTAGCCATTTGAACTGTCGCATTGGAATCCAAGAGGACTATAATAATCTTTTCCGAACCATGATTTGCCATTTTGCTTTACTAGTAAATCATAAACCCCATTTTCGTCCAATTCATCCACGAAAACAAGGTAGCTATACTTATTTGCTTGGGTCACTAGAACCTGAATGTTGTTAATGTACACCTCTTCATTTGTGTGAATATCGGTAAAGTACCCATATAGCCATGCGTAACCCCCAATAGAACTTGCAGGTCGATATGATGTAACATACAAATCTGAAGACTCGTTACAATAGGTTCCTTGATAACCATCTTCACATATACATATTTTATAATCTGGTTGGCATAAAGGTATATTATCTCCAACACATAGGTCACAAGAGGGTAAACCCCTATCACCCACACATTTATTTATAAAATTAAATAAAATTAAAAATAAATATATAAAAAAATTTAATTTCATTTTCTAAAAATAAAATTGGGGCTTTTTTTAATAAATAAATATAAACAATTAAATAAATAAATAAATAAATAAATAAATAACTAATATTTTTTAATATGTTTATATATTAAAAGTTATATTATAATATGGATTTCGCCTAAAAACAATTTTTTTATTTTTATTTTTTTTAAAATAAAATTTTTTACGAAAAAATATCCTCAAAAAATACTGGTTACACCAAAATCATCAAAAACCTTTTTAAAAAATAAAAGTTTTTATAAAATTATTACTTTCATTGTTTAAAATGCTCAAAAAATTTTTATCCTTGCCAAAGTGCATTCAAATTTGCCAAATGGAAGAAAACCGGAATGTGCTCTGGAAATAAAAATGAAATAAATAAATAAATAAAATTAATTAATTGGGTTTTTCGTTTTGTTGACCTTTCACCATTTTTATTTTTATTTTTATTTTTATTTTTATTTTTATTATTTTTTTTATTTTTATTTTTATTTTTTTTCTTTTTTTTTTTTTTTATTTTTTTTTTTTTTTTTACAAAAAAGATATTTAGGTTTGAAGATAAAAAGATTCTTATTCACTATTTTTGAATAAAAAATAAGAAAAGAATAAAATTTTTTTTTTTATTTATATTTTTAAATTTATGTTTGGTGGGTGTTATAATCGAAATTGAATTAAATTATAAATTAATTAATGATAGAGTAATAAGTGATGATAATAATAAACCAATTATATTAAAAGCAAGGGTAGAGGCTGATGATGATGGTTTCTCTTGCTCGAAATTCTGTTGTTGACCATTTTTATCAAATACTGCAATGTTTGAAGAAGAAATTTTATTGTTAACATGGAAACTACCTTCTAAATCAATTTTACATTGGACATTGGATGTTTTGCATTCTATATGGGAACCTCTACAAGTAATTGATTTTGATAAATACCAATTTGATCCGACAGTGCACTTGATTATACTATCCTCTTGATCTGTTGAACATGTGGAACCGCTAATATTATCAACACATTCAGTTGGGCCATAGCCAGTGCAATTAATACCTGAATAACTATCAATTGATAAACTACTTCCAATGTTTGTGCAAGTAATGGTTTCAGGGAATGATGCTGATGATGATGCTGATGATGATGGTGATATTGATGAATCTGATGTTGATCCTGATTCTGATGTAGAATTTTTATAGATTGAACAATCTTCACCAGTCCAATTATAATCGCATTGGCAGTTTGGGGAAAAATTAAAATTACATACACCATTATATGAGCAATTGTTCATACACAAGAATGGATCGAAATAAACCATACCAATCCCTTTGAAAACTACTGAACCATAGGTTTGATTAAAAATTCTTAAATCTTGATAGCCATTTCCTGGTGGAGCTTTACCAATTACATATGAGCTTGAAAAATAGTTGAAGTTTATTATTGTGTTGTTGATGAAAAAGTATAGATTGGTAATGTCTTCAAAGAAGCCATGGATATAAATATCACCACCTCTGGTTGAAACTGGTGTTACAGAATATACTTTGACGGTTGACATTTCACATTTTTCGCCATACCAACCATTGTCACAAACACATTCATTTCCTATAAAAACTCCATGAACGCATGATTCTGGTTTATAATAATTATGACCAATATATTCCATGTTGTTTTGTGAAACTGAAATATCATAGAAAAATGAGTGGGAAAGGAAACCTCCGATATTACATTTTATAATATAAGGTGTAATTTCAATGACATAACACATATGACTACCAATGCTTACAGAGAGATTTTTATGGACATGAGAAAATGAACCATCGAGTTTTACTAAACCACCACTTTCATATGCAGGATAAACACTTGAAACATAAAAAAATTGACTAAATTCACAAAATTGGCCACTTTTTCCATTTGGACAATTGCAACTTGTTGAATTAGTATCTGTACAATTGCCATAAAAACAATTTGAGCAAATATCTATTGGGGCACTAATGGAGCAATTTTCTCCGGTGTATCCTGGAGAGCATATACAGGTATGGATATTTGTGGTTTGGTTATATAAACAATAACCATTTTCACATGTGGCATAACATGATATATCGCTTTTAACTAAAGAACTTGAAAAACCTAAAAGAACAAAACAAATAAATAAAATAATGTTAAATTTCATTTTTTTATTTATATATATTATAATAAACTATTTTATGATGAATGAATGAATATTTAAAATGAATTTTAAACCAATATTTATACAAATTTTTAAAAAAAAAAAAAATGTACATTTTTTAGTTTACTCAAGTAACGTGATTTTTTTTGTTTGGAAATTATATAGTTATAAGAAAAACTAAATAAATTGATTTACACAAAAATTAAAATTCGAATATTTAATATGAATTTTAATAAATCACAAAAAAAAATGAAATCATTTTTTATAAAATTCGGTTTTTTTTGATTTTTTTTTATAAAAATAGGATTTACTTAGAAATCTTTTTTTTAAAATTAATATGAATAAATAATGTTCAATATTTAAACAAGAACCTAAAAATAAATCATATTACAAAATATTGGTTTATTTTTTAAAATATTATTTTTTTTCTTCACCCAAATAATATAATATTTTTTTTTAATTTTTTTTTTAATTTTTTTTAAATTTTTAATTTATCTTTTTTTTATAAAATTTATTTTCTTTATTTAGATATTTCTAAATATTAATTAAAATTAAAAAAAATCATCATATTTAATTATTAAATTTTAACTATATTCATTTATCTTGCTCTTAATTACTATAGTATAAATAACACAATCATTTATTTGATAATTAATGGCTTATATCTTTTTCAAATAAAAATGTATTTTTACGATTCATTCTTTAATCAAGATTTCTTTAATTTTTATTCAGATATATAATGGAGTGGTGTGGGTGTGGGAAGATTTAAAAAAAAAAAAAAAAAATAATGGGTGGGGTTACTATGGAAATATCCATTTTATTTTAATTTTTCAGATATATCTCAATTCACCCCACTTCCCACTTGCATAGTATAAACACACTTTCCTTCTTTATTTTTTTATAATAAAATAAAATAGTTTTCAAAATAATTTTATTTCTTATAATTCTAAATTGAGATAAAAAAAAAAAAATAATTATAAATATAAAAAGTTTTTTAATTATTTTTTTTTATTTACCCAATAACATAAATAAATAAATGAAATTGTTATTATCTTTAATTCTTTTAGTATTTACCGTATTTTACTATTCAAATGCAGAGGTCACCGCAACAACTCCTGAAAAATGTTTAAATTCATTACAAAAATACTTTGTTGATGGACAGAATTGTGGTATGTATTCGTTATTAATAAAAAATTGTAATTTTTAATTATTAATGTAAAATTATTTTTGTTTTTTTTATATAGGTATTGAAATAACATATATAGATCCAAGTGGTAAAGTTGTATATGCTAGAGGTAATTCAAAGACAGGATATCTATTTTCACCAGATTTGGCAAATGTAGATTCTTATGCAGCATTAAGTAGTCAAAATGAAGATTGTTTTGAAGGAAAGAAACAAATTTTTTCAGATAAAAAAACAGTTGAAGGTTTTTATGATTCAAGATCATTCCGTATTAGTAAAGCCGGCGTTGCCACTGTAAATAATGAAGGCACACTCCGTACTTTCCCACTTACCGATTGCAATGATCAAGGTAATATCTTTAATGGTTATACAGATACTGGTAGATTATATACATTCCATTTAAATTCTGCAACAAAATATGACTTGGTTGCTTCACAATGCAATGGAAATGGTGGTACTTCAACAACTGAAAGCACTTTAACCACTACCACTACTGGCGGCAGCACAACAACCGGTGGAAGCAGTACCACTGGTGGTAACGATAACACTGATTTCAGTAAAATTCAATACGATGCTTCAGTAGAGAACACATGGACCGAAAATGGCCAAACCTATAGCTATGTTACCGTAAAAATCAATAATTCAGGTTTACCTAATGTCAATAAATTAGTTTTCGAACTCACAGCTACACCAAAAGAAAACTCTGTTTGGGGCGCAGAAAAAAATTCAAATGGCTATTACGCAATCCCAGCAGGTTATCCATTAACAGAAACCCAAAAATATGTTTTCAATTTCATTATGTTGGGTAGTCAAAAACCAACCTTCAGAACAATTTCAATTAATTAATTTTAATTTAAATTTTATCCAAATTAAAAAAAAAAAAAATTTATTTTAATTAAAATAATAATAAAAGAAAAATCTATTTATTTTTTAAAACTGTTTGATTATCATAATTTATTCTTTTAAATCTAAAGATATCTCATAATTTTACCAATTTTTTTTTTTTATATATTTATTATATATTTATTATTACTTTCTTTTTAAATTTATTTGTTTATAACCACACCCCAAAAATGTAAAAAAAGTGACACTTAAACCCAAAATTGTTTTTTGAGAAAAAAACAATAATTTAAAAAAATTTTTTTTTTTTTTTTTTTTTTTTTTAACATTTATTTATCTTTCATTTTATTTTTTTCTAAAGAATAGTAATAATGGATTCAAATTATTTAATCTACCTCTTCTGTGGCCAAAAAGTAAGGAAAAATATAACTGAAAATTAGATATTAAATTTCTAAAGAATAATTATTCTTCTTTTTTAGGTTATTTGGGATAAAAGAAACTTTTATTTATATGAAAATGATGAATTTTTTAAAAATAAAATGAATTTTTTAAATGAAAAAATTAAAGAAAAATATGGTTTTTCAACAATAGAAAGGGTTTATCAATATGCAGAAAAAAATGAAATTCTAAATGATCAAATATTGGTTCATTTAATGTTACTAATTTTCCAAATTACACTATTTGAATTTTTAACACAAAAGCACAAACCAAATTTAATTGTAGGTATAAGTTGTGGAGAAATTCCAGCACTCTATTGCAGCGGTATAGTTGATTTAGACACATCCATAGATCTATCTTATAAGCGTGGTTATTATTTAAACCAAACATTATCTTTTGGAGGCTCAATGGTTTATATAGAATCCAACGATGCAACACTCAGAGAAAAAATAGGTGATTTAGGTCCAGTAGTACAAGCAGGTATAAACTCACCAAACACATGTTTCTACGGCGGAAAAGAAGAGGCAATCGATGAATTCATAGTAAAGTTAAATCAAGCTAATTTTTACAATAAAAAGTTTTTCCTTAAAGGTTGCTTCCATTCCCCTCACATGGAGTCAATTAAAAAGGATATTTTGGATATCGGTTTTGAGTCAAAGCAACCCTCCATTCCTTTTATTTCAGTCTCAAATAATAAGATGCTAAGTGGTTCCATTCAAGAAGATCTCTACAACTCAAATAGTCTCTATGAAAACATTAGAAACACTGTACAAACATCTTTTACATTCCAACGTATTTTTACCGATATAGAAAAGAGCCAATCAATTAAAAAAGCAATTATTTATGAAATGTGCCCATTCAGTTCAAACAATGATTACATAACCGATATTTTACAATCTGTAGAAGGAAATAAACTCTCCATGGATCAAACATTATTTTGCCTACCCTCAAAACCTATAATAGATACAAATTTCCTTTTTGATGAACTACAAATGCTATTAAATTAAAAAAAAAAAAAATATTAATCGTATGGTTAACAAATAAAACACTATTTTGATTATTATAGTAATTCATAAATAATTAACATCAAATTATAAAACAGATTTAACAGATTTAAATTATTATAATTTTTTGACATCTCTTTCCCTATAAATTTTTTATCATCCCATTAATAATTACAACTATCAAAACAATAATGGCTTCTTTACCACATATATAAATTCATTATAATAATTATTTTTTTTGTTTATGTAATTTAATCCACCTTAGAAGAAATGAAAAAATTAATATGATGTATATATATCAATATATGACGAATATGGAAATTTTGTGGGGGTGGGGGTGGTAATATAATATTTATATATAATTTTTTTTTTGTTTTTTAAATATTTTTTAAAACCAAATTCAAATTTTTTAATTTTTTTTAATATAAAAATTTATTTGTTTGTTTATTAATTTATTTGAACAAAAAGTTTTAAAAAAATATTTAAAAAGTTATAATGTTAATAATTAAAAAATTAGTTTTATTAATAGTTTTAATTTCTTTTGTTTCATGCATACACTCTGCAAATACAACTCCAGAAAAATGTTTAAATTCACTACAAAGATATTTTGTTGAAGGTGAAAATGTTGGTGCGTATAGTAGTTGGAGAGAAAAAAATAAAAAAATGAATAGTGTCTAATTTTAAAATTATTACTATTATATAGGTATTGAAATAACATATGTAGATCCAAGTGGAAATGTAGTATATATGAGAGGTAATTCAAAGACAGGATATATGTTTTCTCAAGATTTAGCAAATGTAGATTCTTATGCCGGTTTAAGTAGCCAAAATCAAGATTGTTTTGATGGAAAAACCCAACCATTTAGTGCTAAAAGAACAGTTCAAGGTTTTTATGATTCAAGATCATTCCGTATTAGTAAAGCCGGTGTTGCCACTGTAAATAATGAAGCAACACTTCGTACATTCCAACTTACCGATTGTAATGACCAAGGAAATGTTTATAGTGGTTATACAGATACTGGTAGATTATATACATTCCATTTAACATCAGGTAAAAAATATGATTTGGTTGCTTTACAATGCTAAAAATATAAATATAAATACAAATAAATATACAAATAAATAAAAAATTCATTTAATTTTAGTTTTTTGTTTATTTAATTATCTTCATTTTTATTTATTTTTTTAATTTTATTTTCGTTTATTTTTATTTTTATTTTTATTTTTATTTTTATTTTTATTTTTAATTTTTTAATTTTTTTTTTTTTTTAATTTTTTTTAATTTTTTTAATTTTTTTTTATAATTTTTTTTATGTTTTCTTTTATTTTTGTTTTTCTTTTTATTTAATTAATTAATTAACTATATCTCTAGAATAATAAAAAAAAAAGAAGTACTTCATATATTTATTTATATTAAAAGTAAAGAGAAAAAAGCACATAACAATAAAAATTAAAAAATATATATTCATATTTATATTTATATTTTAAAATTTTTTTTTTTTATATTTAAAATATGGAATCATACTCTATTCAAGATTTAGAAAATAAATTAAAAACTGACAAGGAAGAATTATTAGAAGTAGAATCATTGCTAGAAGAAGATAATGATGCAGAATTACAAAAATTAAAAGATGATTTAATTGCAATTATTAAAACAACTACAGATTTAATATTTAAAAAGAAAAGAGAATTGGATAATAATAATAATAATAATAATAATGTAAATACACAACCACCAATAATACCACAAACATCAAATAGTAATATTAATATTAATAGTAATAGTAATGGTAACAGTAATAATAATAATTATGATATTTATAATAGCAGTAATTATCAACAACCTCAAACACAGCAACAACAAATAGAACAATTTAGCGAAGATAATAGCTTAACAGTTGGTACAGTTTGCGAAGCTCAATATTCAGTTGATGGGGTTTGGTATAAAGCAGTTATAGATTCAATTAATAAAGATGGTACATTTATAGTAACATATCCAGATTATGGTAACTCTGAAGTGTTAACATTCGATAAAATAAAACCACCAACCAGATCACAAAAACTACTTTTAAATCAAAATTTAGAACAAAAGAAATATTTACAAGCTCCAGATACAATTCAATCAATTCCAAAACATTTAAGAATTTTACCAGAGGATAATGAAGAAACTAGAAAACAAAAAGAGAAAAGAATTCGTTCCATTAAATCTATGAATCGTTTAAAAAAAGTAGAAGAAGAAGGAAAACAAAAAACCCAAGCATGGAAAGACTTTTTAAACAAACCAAAAAGATCAGTCCCTGGTACCTTTACTGATAAGAAAAAAGGTTCAATGTTTTCAACCAGTGACAGCGCTGGAAGCAAGGTTGGTGTAATTGGTAGTGGCAGAGGTATGACAGAAAGCCAACAATTTCAAGGATTTTCTAAAAAAGCTCCATCACAGTTTCAACCTCCAAACTAATTAAACTATTTGTATGTATTTTTAAAAATGCAACCAATATAAAAACAAATAAAATAAATTTCTAAAACCTTTTTTTTTTTTAAATATATAAAAGAGAAACTACTTTTTTTTTTTTTTTTTTTTTTTTTATGAAATAAAACAAAGATAATAATTTAATTATTATTATTCAAAGTTAAATATAAGTATATTTATTTCTTTTTTTATTTTTTTCTATTCGTCAACATCAAATCTAACATCTAATAATTCGAATGTTTTAATTGATGATTTTGATTGTATTGATTCTGGTGTTAATTGATGAACCAAATAGACTGGATATTTAATATGTTCTAATGTTGAAGGAAGTGATACATTGGTAGTTTGTGCAAATTCATTGCCAAATTCTAATGATTTAAGATTTGGTGGTAATACTCCAGGTTGGTCTATTGGTTTATTGAAATTCTGTCCAAAAATGAGGGTTTCTACGGAATGAGGAATTGAAAAAGGCTCTAATTCTTGATTAAAGCATCTTCCAAATTTGAGGTAACGTAATTTTTGTGGTAAAACTCCTGGCTCTATTTTGTGGTTATATCCATTACCAAACTCGATTGAAACTAATGATTTTGGTAAAGAGTCTGGGGTTAATTTAGATACAAATCTATTTGAGAATCGGATATGTTCTACAGTAGATGGGATAACATTCTCGGTAAGCTTTTGGTTGAATTTGAAACCAAATGTAATATCACGTACACCTTCTGGGATTGTATTTGGGAGTAGCTTTTGATTAAATTCATATCCAAATGTTAGCTTTTCAATGCTTGGGGGTAAATCATTTGGATTTAGTTTTACATTAAAATTATGACCAAAAGTAAGTTCTTTAACACCATTTGGGATTGAACCTGGTTGTAGTTTTGCATTGAAGTCACGACCGAATATAATTGATCTTAATGAATCTGGATAAACTGATGGCTCTATTGTTTGATTAAAGAAAAATCCATACTCTAATGATGTTAATGATGGTGGGTAATCGTTTAATTTTGGTTTAGAATTGAATTGGTTTCCAAGTTTTAATTTGGTGACAGATGAGGGGATGGTGTTGTATTTGAATTTTTTTTGAAATTCAAAACCAAAAGTAAGATCGGTTACGGATGAAGGTATTTCCTTTTGCTTTATTGTTTGATTAAATCTCCATCCAAAAACTAATTTCTCTACACTTGAAGGAATGGAACCAACCATCAATACTTGATCGAATTTAAAACCAAATGTAAGGTTTTTAACACCAAATGGAATCTCATTTGGTGTAATAGGTTGATTAAACTCTTGACCAAATATAAGAGTCTCTGTGGATGAAGGAATACATGATTTTAGTGGTTGGTTAAACTTAAAACCGAATTCGATGTTTTTAATTTTTGATGGTAATACCAATGGTAATATAGTTTGATCAAACTCCCTAAAAGTAGTAAAAAACAATATTGATGAGTTAATAAAAACTTGATATATTTTAAAATTGATTATATATAAATATGAATAAATATTTACCATCCAAAAGTAATTGATTCTAAAGGCTCTGGTATTTCCCCAACTTTGATTTCTTGGTTAAATTCTCTACCAAATTTTAATATTTTAAGATTTGATGGTAAAACGCCTATATCTAATGGATGATTAAATGAATTTGATAGATTTAATTCGGTGATTGTGCTTGGTAATACATATTTATCCAAAGGTTGATTAAAAGAGCTAGTTTTGTATATCTCTGGGTCGCCAATTGTTAAAACCTCTAAACCCTCACAAAGATCACCTTTTTCTATTTTCTGATTAAAACTTTGACCAATCTTTAACACTTTAACACTTGATGGAATTGAATGTAATTTTTGATTAAAGTTCAAACCAAACTCTAAAGACTCCAAATTTCTTGGTAAAGTTTTTGCTGTTAATGGGATATTATAGTCTTCGCCGAATACTATCGATTTGATATTTAAAAATGACTCTAGCTCTACCTCTGAATTGAAACTTTTACCAAATACTATAGATTTGAGTGATTTGGGTAATGCATCTTTACCAATTGGTTGGTTATAGTCATCTTGAAAAACGATAGTTTCTAAACCCTCTGGAAGATCACCCTTATATAAAATTTGATTAAACTCTTTACCAAAAGTAACTGATTTAACACTTGATGGAATTAATTTAGGTGATAATGGATGATTATATTTATAGGAAAATACCAAGGTTTCAACTGAATTGGGAATACAACCAACCTGTAACTTTTTTTCGAATCTATTGCCCAAGTGTAACTCTTTTACGCCTGATGGAATACTCTTTGGTGCTATTTTTTCATTAAACTCAAATGCAAATGCTAATTTTGTTACATGGGGTGGAATCCATCCTGGGAGTAATACTTTTCCATCTGCTTTTTCTTTATATAATCTAATTCTTTTCTCTTTTTTTCTTTCTTTAATTTTTTGATTTTTATTATCTTTGCTATGATCTATATCATTATGAATATTAAATATAGTTTTAAATTTATTATTTTTATTTTTATAATTGAACCGTATTATTTTATCTTTTGGATTTCTACTTGAATATAATCTTTTATATATATTATTATTATTATTTATAATATTATTATTAACATTATAATTATTATATATTAATGATAAACTTCTTATTTTAAAATCAAACAATCTATTATTAATTATATTATTACTACTATAGTTTGATTTATTAATACAGTTTATTATATTTTTTGTTGGATTCATTATTATTTCGTATGAAGAAACAAAATAAAAATGATAATTTTGAAAAAAAAAAAAAAAAAAAAAAAATGAAAATTTAAAAAAAAAAAAAAAATTTTAAATTTTAAATTATTTTCATTTTTAACAAAAATGTAAAATTAAATGATCGTATGATAAATCAATTATAATAATAATAATTTAATTATATAATAATATTAAAAAAACTACACTAAATATTGTGTGATCAATGAAGACCAATAATTTATCTTTTTTTTATGGAAACCCAATATTTATAATAAAAAATATAACAGGAGTGGTTTTACCAAAATAATAAAATGGAAAACTATATTGAACAGAGGTTTAAGAACAATTTGGGATTAGGATTGAGTATCTGAGAAGCAATACCTCACTCCATTAACATTTACCAACCTTATAACTCCTTTCATTCCTATTCAGAAATAGAAAATCTATGGAAATTCCTCAACAATGCCATTTCCCCATCAGAAATAATCAAAGGAGATAGTTGTGATCTTTTAAAATATTTATTATATTTTAATTACATTAACCATTTATTTATAAATTTATGTTATTTAATATTTTATTTAAAATTTGATAATTAAAATATAAATTTTTAGATATATATAAAAAAAAAAATCAGAAACATTTCTAAAATTAAAATTTGCTTTTTCATATTTTTTTTTTTTAAAGCATTTAGTCAAAAGGATAAAAATTTCCAAAAAAAAATAAATTAATTCATTACCACCCCATTTACTTTTAAAAATGGTGGTTTTAAAAAACTAATTTTTTTTTAAATTTTTTTGATTTTTTTTCATTTTTTTTTTATTTAATAATCATAACCGCATCTAGATATTATCGAATATTTTTAAAAAAAATAATAATAAATATTAAAAAAATTATAATGTTTTTTTACGATCTTTTTTTTTTTTATTTTTTTTTTTTTTTTGATAATATTATTATTTTTTTATTTTTTTATTAATATATTATATAATAACATTAAAGTTATATTGTGTCTTATTGCTTTATATATATATTTAAAAAGGAATAGTAAACTTATTAAATATTTCCCAAAAAAAAAAAAAAAAACAACACAATTAAACAATAATATAAATAAACTATATTATAATATATAATTATAGGTTGTGTGTACAGATAAATTTTTTTTTTTTTTAAATTTTTTTTAAATTTTTATTTTATTTTTTATTTTTTTTAGTGTGTAATTGATTTTTATTTTTAGCCACACCCCTCATTCTTGCTATTTTCACCCACCGCAACATTACAAAACACAAAATACACACTTAAATAACAAACCAACAAAAAAACAAAAAAAACAAAAAATAATATTAATATTCAATAATCAAAGGATTAAATTTAATTTTTTAATTTTTTATTAAAATAAATTATATAGCATTGTAATAATAGTTTAAAACATAAACAAAACATAATATAATAGTAATAGTAATAGTAATAATAAATATAAATATATATAAATATATAATCTGTAATATAACATCTGTATAAAAATATACATTTCGAATCACTTAAAAGAAATAAAAACAAATAAAATCAAAAGTAGTATATATATGTGTGTGTAGTTATCTTTGCAAACATACAGAGCTTTAAATCAATATATTGTTTATAAAATAGGTTACTGTATGTATTATAAATTATAAACATTATAAATTAAATATTATTATTTTTTTTAACGAAAAACAAATTTAAAAAAAATTAAAAAAAAAAAAAAAAAAAAGTATTGTATAAAATCAAATAAATAATAAATAAAACAGATAAATTATGGATTTTTATGATCAAGTACCAATCCCAGATCCAATAACACTACCAGATCCAATATCATTCCCGGATCCAATAGCATTACCAGACCCAATAGCATTACCAGATCCACCAATTCCATCAAGTTGGAATGAGTGTGATGGAACAGAATTGATACCAGAAATTGACCCAACTGTTAGATTAAATGCTATTATTGCTATTCAGTCAGCATGGAGAGGATTTCAAGAAAGAAAAAACTATAGGATTTATATTAGAGCAGTTATCATATTTCAAAAATTTTATAGAGGTCATATTGCTCGTAAATTATATAAAAAACTTTATGAAGAATCACGTTGGTTAAGAGATGCACCACCACCAATCACACCATCATTACAGGTTGTAAGTAATACACATAAAATATTTTCTAATAATAATAATAAAAATATTGTTTACTAAATAATTTATAATAATAAAAAAAAAAGGTTAAAAAAGCAAGAGGTGTTGCAGGTAGAGCAAGACCAACAAGAGGTCATAAAGTTCAAACAAAAGAAATTGAAAACTGTGCACCAACAAACAATGAGGAAACAACAGATAACAATGACACTGAAAATAATGAACCTAAACCAGAAAAACCAAAATTAGTTATGGTGGGATCAGGTATGGTAATGCCTAAATTTGATCCATCGGCAGTTATGTTAAAGAGGGGATCACCAGTTTTATCAAAAGAAAATAGACATAGTATAGCATCATTCGATTCAATTGGTTTAAATAAAAATAAAGAAGGTGGTGAAACAAGTTCCAGCGAGCCATCTTCACCATTTGCATTAAGAAAATCAGTACACAAATCACCAGCTTCCCCATCTGCAAGTTCAGAATCAAATGAATCCCAAAATGCATTTTCACCTTTATTATTAAGAAAAACACCAACTGTTATTCCAGAAAAGTTAGTGGATGAGGCGTCATCGGCATCACCCAAATTCCCAATTTTAAAGAAAAGTTTCTCTGCATTTGGAGCAAAATCTTTAGGAGGTTTAAGTTCAAGCGAGGGGTTACCTCCACCATCAGTTTTCCCTTCTTTTGATTTACCACCACCTTTATCATCATCCTCTAATTTACCACCACCTCCTTCTTTTGATCAATCAAATCTCCCACCACCAGTTTTTGATATTCCACCACCATTAGATTTTCCTCTTCCATCTAATTTACCACCAATTGATTTACCAACCCCAACCCCAACCCAACCTTTTAAAAAAACATCACCACCAACTACACCACCATCAGGTACTGCTCCACCACCAATTTCAGCAAAACCTAAACCTTTACATTATTCATCAAATAATAATTTAAATTCTTTGGGTACAGCTTCTTCAAATAAACCAGTTATTAACTATGCCACAAAACCATCAAATAATCCTCCACCAAACAATAATATAGATATTGCTCCAATAAACAAAACTTCACCACCATTAAGGGGAAATTCTTTACAAAAATTACCATCACAAGGCAGTTTACCATTACCATCCAATTTACCACCACCAATGGGCATACCATCCAATTTACCTCCACCAATGGGTATACCATCCAACTTACCTCCACCATTAGGTATACCTTCTAATTTACCTCCACCAATGGGCATACCATCTAATTTACCTCCACCAATGGGAATACCATCAAACTTACCTCCACCAATGGGTATACCATCAAATTTACCTCCACCAATGGGTATACCATCAAATTTACCACCACCAATGGGAATACCATCAAACTTACCTCCACCAATTGGAGCACCAGCCAATTTACCACCACCAATGGGAATTCCATCAAATTTACCTCCACCAATTGGAGCACCAGCTAAGTTACCACCAATAACACCAGTTGGTTTACCAAAATTACCATCACAGGGCAATTTACCATTACCAAACAACTTACCACCACCAATTGGAATGCCAAGCAATTTACCACCACCAATCGGAATCCCATCCAACCTACCACCAACTAAGTTACCACCAATAACACCAGTTGGTTTACCAAAATTACCATCACAGGGCAATTTACCATTACCAAACAACTTACCACCACCAATTGGAATGCCAAACAATTTACCACCAATCGGAATGCCAGCAAACTTACCACCACCAATCGGAATGCCAAACAATTTACCACCACCAATCGGAATACCAGCCAACTTACCACCACCTATTACAACAGGAAATGCGCCACCACGTGTCGCACCAACTGGTATCCCAAACAACTTACCACCACCAATCAGTATGCCAGCTAATCTTCCACCACCTATAGCACCAATATCAGCACCAACAAAACAATTAAAGCAGGGATGGCAAATGTTTAGCACAGCAGAGGGAAAATCTTATTATCATAATAGATCACAGAATATCACAACATGGAATGAAGCAGATGCATACGAATTAGTTTTGGCCCCAACACAACCACAAAACAAATCCCAACCTCCACAACATGAGGCTACAGCAAAATCAGAACAACAAATTCCTCAATTTAAACAATCTCCAGTTGTCACCCAATCAGCTGATGAGAAAAAGAAATCTATAAAAATTTTAGGTATATTTTTAAAGAAAAGACCAAACAAATCAGAATTGGTATCAAAAGGTATTATTTCTGATGATGGTGTTCAAACCAGTCAAAGTTCATCAAGCAAATCAAAATCAAAGAAAAAATAATTACTCTAAAGAAAAACAACAATTTATTTATTATCGAATTTTTTTTTTTTTAAATAAAGAAAAAAAAAAAAGTAAAGAAAGAAAAAGAAAAAATATTTGTAAAAATATATATATAAAAAAAAAACAATATAAATTGGATTATATATTGGTTTTTAATTCTAAAGAATTTTTTTTTTTAAATAAAATTATTTTTAAAATTTATAAATTTATAAATTATATTTTATAAAAGAATTTTTTATTTTTTATTTTTATTAAGATTAAATATTTAAATACTTTCTTCTCTTTAATGATATACCTAAATTGCCGTGATCAACATTACATGCACTTGGTGTTTGAATACTATTGCTAATTTGATCGCTGCTGTTGTATTCTTTTATTCTAATAAATTTTTTGTAGTCCAAGGAGATATCTGGAGAAAAGGAATAAAAGTTGATGTTTTCATAATCTGCGAACAAAATTCTGCCAAATTCTATATATAAACTTTTTACATTTGAAAATTTCTTTTCATTACTTATTGTTTCAAATATCTTTTGAATATTGTGGAGTGGATTATGGGATACATAATAAAGGTCAATATAGAAAAATAGGAATTCTAGATTTTGATTTGCGATTGAAGAAAAAAGACCCAATATACTATTAAATTCGCTACAATCTTGAAGAGTTAATATTAGTTTAATTGATTTTATTTGGTTAAATATGGTTCTTTCGCAATTTATAAATTTTGGACTTTGCATTACTGATTCTAAATATGTTTGATCACCGGAATCCATTGTTAATATAAAGTGTCTGCAGTCTGATATTTCATCATTTCTTAAAAATACATTGTTTAAAAATATTACATAGTCTGTTGAGATTGAGTTGAGATTTAATGATTTTAAATATAATTTATTATTACCATTATTGCTATTATTACTTCCGATGCTGCTTATACTATCGGTACTACTACTAAGTTGATTACCATAATTGTTATTTTCATAGTTGTATTGTTTTATATTGAATTCTAGTTCTATCTTTGATTCTTGTTTAAATAGCTGAACAATATTAAAATAACTTTCATTAAAATATTTAAATTCTTCATAAGGAACATTTAAAATTATTTTCTTTAAACTTGTCATTTTGAATAATAGTTTTAAATCGTTCAATAAATTGAGTGAAGGATTGGCAATTTCTAACGTGTTTAGAGACTTCATATTACTTACTACTGCTAGTATATGTGTGTGATGGTACTTTGGCTGAATTCTTAAATGATGGATTGTATTTAAATTTAACAGTTTGAAATTTGATTGTTTATAGTTATTTAAAATGAAATAATATTGAAAATAAATTCCTAGATCTATAGATATGAAGTTTAATTGGGCTGGTGTGTTTAAAATAATATTTAAAAATTCTTTACAAACATTTGAAACTAAAAACAAATCTTTTTGATTTTTAATAACAAATGAAAATAAATATTGCATTAAATATTTTGGAAATAATTTGAATCTATTGTTATTGATGGATTTATTATTGTCACTATTATTATTACTATCATCACCATCACCATTTAAATAAAGTTGATTAATTTTATTATTATTTATTTTTAAATTATAAATTATTGAATTGTTGCAATATGATTGATAATTTGGATAAATATATTCATTAATGGTTTTAATGGTTGAAAATGTTATTAGATGTTTTAACAGTTTAGTTTCAATAAATTTATATTTAATAGGTTGGTCTTGAATATTGAAAAATAAGTCTTCTATTGGAATCTGTGATACAATTTTTGGATTTAAATCATAAATGTTGTTGTATAAATTATTTAATAAATCTAAAGAGTTTGAATCAACTTGATTTTCTATTTTGAATATACTGCTAAAAGCAGAATAGACTCTATTTGGTTTCATTTCTAAAATGTATCTACACGATTCATATAGAAAAGATGGTACATCCAGTGTGTTGTTATTAATACCCATTCCATTTTTATACTCTTTGATTAATGGTACCGATTTATAAATATCTAGTTTGTATAGTAATGTTGCAAATTTGAACGATAACTTGGTTTTTACACTTTTACTGAGAAAGCTTTTAAATTTGATATAATCAAACACCCCATTTTCTAACAATCCTTGAACGATAGGTTTGAAAAGTTCCAACTTATTGATTTTTAAATTTAAAAAAATTGTATTTTCAAAGATTGCTTTCACTAATTCTTGACTATATTTGATCTGAAATTCTTTATTTTTGCCCATTGTTTTTAAAATTAAAAACAAACATTCATTATATTTAATTTTTTCTTTTTTATTGCTATCTTTTTGTTTCTGGTGGTTCTTGGATGTTGATTTTGATGCTTCATCTTGTTTATTTTTCTTGTTTTTCTTATTTTCTTTTTTTTCTTGTAACTTGACCATATCAATAATAAAATCAATATATTGAATATGGTCTTTTCTTATTTTCTGATACACTTCTCTTGGTAATTTAAAATGAATTGTATTGGATCTTGATGCTTGGTTTCCAGTTGTAATTAAAAATAAAGTTTTCTTTATATAATCATCATCAGCTATACACTTTGAGAAAAATAAATGGGTAATATCTTTACCATATTGTTCAATAAAAAACTGATCATCGTTTAAATATTTCTTGAATTCTATTATTGAAAATACAAAATAATAATTTAAGATTGTTAAATCTGTTCTTTTTAAAAAGTCTATAAACAAGTCTATAATTTTAATTATTGAATCCTTATTAATTATTAAAATTAAAAATATTAGTATTTTGCACAAAAAAATTTTATATGGTGTGTGAAAAAAAAAGTGTGGTTATAATATAAAAAAGTGAGTGGGTGAGTGGGTGAGTGGGTGAGTGGGTGAGCGCTGTGTAGGGTTAATATATATAGTGTATAAATTATATATAATTATTTAAACGCATATGTGAAAGTAGTTATATAATATTATTGAGTTTCTAAAAAATTGTAATAAAAAATATTTTATATGTAACAATTACCCTTGTTAAAAGTTTGATACTTGGATTTGTTAGTAGAATTCTATATAAGTCGACATAAGTTATTATAGACTTTGTATGTATTGCATTTGCATATTTTGTCTTTTTAAAATCATCCAATGCGAATTCTAATATCTTATCAAACAATTCAATAAAAACTCTATTTATCTTTTGAATTCTGATACTCTTTTCATCACTTTTAAATAAATATTCTATGTAGTTTGGGTATCTTTCCATTACTTGAACTAAAAGGCAACCACCTGACATATCATATTGAGTTTCTCTAATAAAACTATTTAAAAATAATTAGTAATTTATTTTGCATAAAAAAAATAATATTAAACAATCGATATAATACCTTTTGAAAAATTCAAACATTTCCTCTTCTTCATAATTACCAAAGGAATAAAAGTAGCTGTCAAACTTTAACATCTTTTCTTTTTTTACATTAATATCATCATCGAGACCACTTTTATAATTTATACCGATAATATCAAAAATACTGCTAAGGGAAATATTATTTAATGTTGATAATGATGATGATAATGCTGATATCATGCATGATGTTGAAGTTGTTTTATTAATACTATTATTACTATTATTTATATTACTATTATTACTATTATTTATATTATTAATTTTTTCATTATTACTATCATTACTAACATCTATACTATTATTATTAATATTAATATTTATATCCATTGGGCTTTATAAACGACTTTATAAATAATATTATATATACATATATATACTCTAATTAAAAATAAATAATAAAAAAAAAAAAAAAAAAATAATATTATTTATTTTGAAAATTAAAAATAAAATAAAAATAAAAAAAAATAAAAAAAAATATTTAATTGGTGTGTTGGTCTTATATGGAACCACCCCATATACAAAACACAGTAAATAAATTATTTTTAAATATTTTTAATGAATTCAAAAAAAATTAAACAAAATGATTTTCCAAAATGTGTAAAAAAGTGTTTTCCAAAAGCAAAAGGAGTTTTGAGTTTAAAATTGGGATGGGAAAATTAAATTCGAAAAAAAATTTAAAATTTAAAATTTTAAAATTTAAAGGATTATAAATAATATTTAAAAATTTTTGGGCAAAAAAAACAAAAAAAAAAAAAAAAAAAAAAAAAATCTTCATCTTTGCTAAGATTGGTAAGTTTATAATAAAATGGAGGTTGAAAAACATATTCTCTTCAAATTTCCAACCAAACCTAATCATTACAAACATAAGGAAAACATAATCATTACAAACCAAATGGAACCAGTTTACAATGAAAAAAAAAAAAAATTATTTTTTTATTTTTTTGTTTAATTAATAAAAAAAAAAAATCAAATATGGGCGAAAAAATTGACTAAAAAAAAAAAAAAAAAATTTTTTATTGATTTTATTCATTTATATTTTATTATTATTTTAATTATTTAATTATTATTATATTGGGGTTTTAAACTACATATTCTGGATATTTTGATATTGATTCTATAATATTATTCATGTGAAGACAAAGACTCTCAATCTTTTTATCCCATTGAGAAAGACTATCACCAACATTTTCAAATTGAATTAAACGTTCAATTTGATCAATTGAACCAACTAAACGTTCTTCACTGACCATACGTGATGCAACTTTTTCAGCTTTTTCAGCTGGAATTTCTAAGAGTGAACCTAATTCATCAAAAGTAATATTATTGTAAAGTTTTGAGGCTGATAAAAGGTTGTGTTCGATAACGGCTCTGTCCAATACAGTATTACCATCGGAAAGTAATGCCATTTGATGTGGTTTTAATTCTTCGGCAAACTTTTTAACTTCATTTTTCTTTAAAATTCTTTCTAAAAACATCTTTTCTAAAATTGGATAGACGTCAAGTTGTTGTGAACGTTCATCCTTGTAGAGTGTTGCTAATGTACGTGAACGTTGTGGACCAGCTTTATCTAAAATTGCACAAATAATAGCACATGATAATGCATACATTCTTTCACCATCTTTTGGTAAAAGTTGTGATAAATCGTAATATCTAAGACTTGCTTTTAAAAACATTCTTTTATAATCCATAATTCTTGCAAGACATGTCTATTAAAAAATAAAATAGTTTAGTGTTAATATTTTAAATTTTCTAATTGCAATATTATTTGATGAGTGTGTGCACATTACCTTATGGGCTAATTGTAATTTTTGTTTTTTACATAAATGAATTGAATCGGAAGCTCTGTTGATATAGGTTTCGGCTTGAACAGATTCTTCATCCTCTAAGAATAAACGAGCAATTTTAACATAAATTTTAACTTTATATTCTGGTGAAATAACACGTTGACTGCTATCTAATGGAATAGCAATAAGAGATCTTGCGGCTTCTCTCCAATTTTCTTGACCTTCATATAATTTAGCTAAATTATAACGAATTTCTGAAACTTGCTCTTCAAATGCTACAACTCTATTTTGAATACGTTCTAAAACAAAATTACTAATTTCCATTTGCATATCTTCTGGTAAAGTTTTATAAAGTTGAGTTAATTGTAATAAAATTGTACGTGAAATTACTAATTGAGTTGATTCATCAGTTACTAAAGTGTATATAGTAATTATTATTATTATTATTATTTTTAATTATATATTAGTATAAATATTTTTAAATTATAGTTTGAAGGTTGAGAAAATTTGAGAATCTAGAGTAAGTGTTGTTTTGGTTTCTCTTTGCTATAATAAAATATATAGATATATTTATTATTTATTATTATAAATCTTACAATGTGTAATAAAAGTTTTTAATGGTGCAATTTGTTTTTGTTCAATGAGTTGTTGAAGGATAGATTTATATTTCTCTGTTTTCACTTTATGATCACCGAGAGCGGCGGTTTCATTTAAAATGTTATTTAAATTATCCATTTTATCGTATGTTTATTATAATACAAATAAATTAAAAGTTGGGGTACAAATAAAAATAATTTTAGATATTGAAGTGAAAAAAAAAAAAAAAATTAAAATTTTAAAAAAAAAAATTTAATATAAAAAAAAATTAAAAAAAAAAAATCAAAAAAAATTAAAAAAAAAAGAAAAAATTGTGAAAAAAATAAAAGGAAATATATAATTTTAATTAGGGAATATATTTATAATAATTGATTGAAAGTTTAAATTTAATAATAATTAATAATGAATCTATTTTTTATTTAAAATATTTATTATTTGATTAATAAAATTGATGATTGAGTTGAGTTTAATAATCTGACCATTCTTCATCATCTTCATCATCACTTTCATCTTCTCTCATATTACCTCTACGATTGGCCATAGCAGCTGCAAGAGTATCGACTAATGAACGATTACCTTCATTTCCAAGACTTTGGATATCTGGAAGTGGTTGTGATTTGTCAACAGTTTTAAGACTTGTACCTGAACGAATTGAGGCAAGAAGATCGGCACGACCACCACTGCCACCATTAGAAGTGGCAGTAGTAGTGGTTGATGAACCGAATGCTGGTGGTGGTGGTGGTGGTGGAGCACCTGGAGCTGGTGGTGGTGGAGGTGGTGGTGGAGCACCTGGTGTTGATGGTGGTGGTGATTGATGATGATGTTGTGGTGGTGGAGGTGGTGGTGGAGCGGATTTGCCTGGAGCTGGTGGTGGTGGTGGAGCAGAACGACCTGGTTGAGAAGCAACTGGGGCTGGTGGTGGTGGAGCAGAACGTCCTGGTTGAGCAGGAACTGGTGGGGCAGCACCTACCATTTGTTCACCAATAATGTCGACAATAAATTTGGCAGTTTCTGCATTCTTTAATTCACTCTTCTTAATACCAGCAGATTGGAAAAGTTTACGCCAATCAGGTGGAATGTTTTTAATATCGAAACCATTCTCTGGATCCCAACCAATATGACTTTCATGTTTGAAGTTGGTTGGTGCTGAAATTTCTAATTCTTTTTCAGTTTCAGAAGAGAAGAATTTAGCCATAAAACCTTTCTTTTCTTTCTTCTTATCAGCTTTAGCACTTGCTGTTGGTGTTGTTAATTCTAAAAGAAAAAAAAAAAATTAATAAAATATTTTTATTATACATAAAATAATTCCTAATACTTACTACCTGAACTAACATTTGGATTAACAGCAGCGGTTTTACCGATATTACCTTGTTTACAATTTAATAATTGACCATAAAACTCAGCAGCTTCAGTAACATCAGCGAATGATAAACCATAGACAGCTGAATCACCTTCAAAAGTAAAAAAGAATTCTTTATGTTTTTGATAATCAAATGAATCATAAATTTCCTGTTCGAAAATAATTCTATAGTTTGCCTAAAATATATTTAACAAATAATTAAATTATTAGTACTTTTTTTTTATTTTTTTATTTTATTTTAAAAAAACTGTATATATACCTTTAAATCAAACATTTTAATAAAATTAGTTTTGTCTACACGGTTTGAAACGAGTGAAACAATACCAACAGCCATAAAATCCCATCTTCCTTGTCTACCTTCATAGAGACGAGCAACTGTTGTTGAATGAACATCTGTGCTGCTACCAGCAACAAATGCAACTTGAGATCTTTCTTGATCTGTAATTGTAGCGCTACCCATTATAATTTGTAGCTAAATTAATAAAATAAGAAAAAAACCAATACAATATATAAAATAACAAATAATAAAAAAATAAAGATAAAATATATATATAAAAAAATAAAAAATAAAAAATTTAAAAAAAATATTTTAAAAAAAAAAATTAAAAAAAATAAAAATTAATTATTTTTTAATTTTAATTTTTTTTATAGAATTTGTTTCACTTAAAATAAAAATAATATCAGAAATTATTTTAAATAAAATTATTTTTTGGGGTATTTGTTTGCAACAATGTTTATTAATGGAAATTCCTAGTAATATCATCAATAATAATAATAATCATGACACTTTAGAAATTATATTTGAAAATACATTATTAATAAATTTATTAAACAAATACTTTAATAAAAATGGTTTGATTTATTATAAATTTAAACATGTGTATGCAAGACAAACTAGATTCGTAGGCGAATTTATAGAAACTATAACTAACGATGTAAGTATTTTCAATCTAATCAAATAATAGGGTTCATATAAAAATAATTTATTAATTAAATATTAATATTATTATTATTATTATTGTTTTAGGGATTGGAAACTAAAAATAGTACCAAATCAACAACTGATTATATAGTTAAAAACAGAACAGCAGCAAACGAACAATATATATTATCAAACCATGACTTTAATGACAGGTATGAATGGGTAGAGGACGTTAGGGGTATTCAAGATAGTGCAGGTTTTGAATGGTCGTTGTACAAACCAAAAAGCACTAGTCAAATTAAAGCAATTAAAGTAAATAAAAAAATATTAATTTATTTAATAAATCAACATCAACAAGAGCAACAACAGCAAAAAAAAAGAAATTGTCTTTTACATTTTATAAATAATATTAAACTAAAAAACAAATTAAAAAAATATAAATTTTATTTAATTGCTCAATGGGGAGAGAAGATGGTGTTTAAAGAGAATGATTTTTTAGTAGTCCCAATTAATTTAACACCAAACATATACAGAATTGCAAATAAAGAATTTTTCGAAACTTATAAAAAACAAAAAAATAAATAATAATTTTAAAATTATTTTAAAATACAATATTTAATATTTACACAAATTTTATTTTATTTTTTATTTATTAAATAAATATTCATTATTATCCAATCTTTTTAAATTTCTAATTTTTAAAGAATGTTCAATCCTGGGTAAAAATTTTTGATAGGTGGGTTTTTGTATCATTGTGTTCATCCAACGAGTTATATTGGTAAATTGGTTTAGTTCTGGTATGATGCCGAAATACAAAAAGCAGCCCCATCCGAATAAAGCGATATCAGCAATAGAGTATTTATTACAAAGGTATTCTCTACCTTCCAAACGTTTGTTCAAAACATTTAGTATGTCCATTACATCTTTTTGGGCTTTTTTCATACCAAATGGTATTGGTTCGCTAGCATAAAAAAAATAGTATACATATTGGGATATGCATGGGCCCATTTCAGACACTTGCCATATCAACCATTGTGTAGTTTCACTACGTTCTCTTGGTTTACTAATGGGTGGTAAAAGTGAGGACTCTGGGTACTTTTCAGCTAGATATAATAAAATGGCACCAGATTCAAAAATTCTCAATGGTTCATCAGGTTCACCATTGTCTTTAAGTAGGGTGTTATCAACGAGCATTGGAATTTTATTGTTGGGTGTGATTTCGGCAAATTCTCCTTTATAGTGTTCACCCAATCTTATATTAATTGGGCAATCTTGATATGGGATATTCAATTCGTCAAACATAAAATATACTCTAAGCGAACACGATGTATAGAATGCATATACTTGGTAGTCGGGTTTACCTTCTGATCTTCTTGGCGATATATATTGGTTATCAAAATTTTTACATTTAATTTCTAAAAAATCCTGTTGAATTTTTAATTTTTCCATTATTATTTTTCTCTTTTTTTTTTTTTTTGGGGTAAATTATATAAAAGAAGAATAGATTAATTTACAAAAATAATAAAAATAACAATTATTTATATTTATTATAGGAATAACCTTTTTTATTATTTTAAATCTTTGAATTTTAATTATAATAAAAATAATAATAATTAATATACAATTTTTATTTATATAAAATTTTTTTAATTTTATTTTTTAATAATTATTTTAAATATATCGATTTTATTTTGGGGTTAAATTTATATAATTTTTCCTGAATCTTAAGACTATGGGAAATAAATGACAATATAAAGTTGAATATAAAATTGTATGTTTTTTTAGATTTAATTTAAAAAATAATATGATTTTTTTTTAAAATAAATAGTTTGGTATTTATATTATTTTATAAAATTATTTTTTATTATTTTATTTCAAATATACTTTCTATTATGTGTTAGATAGAGATTGTTTTTTTTTATTAAAAAAATGGTAAAAATGAGGAGTGTATAGTATTTAATTTCTTTTTTTTTTTATATAACTTTTTTATTTTATTATTTTTGTACATAACTAGGAGATCTATGTATATTTTATAATTAAGACACTAACATATACCAATAAATATGTAGTTTAAATCAGATCTTTTCCAATTTAGTTTTTTTAAAATGAAAATTTTTAATACAAAATAAAATTTTTTGTGTTTTTTAAAATTTTGATTGTTTTTTAGAATAGAGCGATGGTATAAACATTATTACAGTTATAAAAATATATAAGGAAATTTAAATACTTTAAAAAAAAATTAAGAGCAGTTTAAATAAAAAAAAAAAAAAAATATATTTAATAATAATAAAAAAATATCCATGCTTTGAATTTAATCTATCGAGAAATATAAAAAATAGATTTTAATAATGATAAAAAAATAAAAAATATGGTGAATTTTAAAAGATATTATTTTTACATTAATCTCCCAATCAAAAAAAATATATAATATTATCGACATTAATATCATCATAAATGTCGTTTATTTCATTTATGTTGCTCAATTTAGTTTCCATTTTTGTAAATGTTAAAGTTCAATTCAAAAAATATCTTTTATAATAATTGTATATTTGAATAACTGAAAAAAGTGTGTTAAATTTTTTTTTTTTTTAAAAATAGACTCCCCAGTGTGGGTAGTAGTATACAAATTCTATTATTATCTTATTTGTTTTATGATTATTTAAATATAATGCAATATTATGTGCAGTTTTATTATATTTGTTTTATAGGCATTATTAAAATAATTTTAAAATTGGGTTGTGTGGTTAAAATGAAAGGTTTTTTGTTAACTGTTATTTTTTTAAAATTACAAAAATTGGGAACTGCATCATAATTGGTGGATGCTGAACAATGTCTTGTAAACCTTGGAGATTTTTAATTTATTTTTATTTTTTCTATTTTTCTGAATTTTACTGGTAAAACTTCAGCCCAACCTTAGTGTTTAAGATTTTTGGGTATCAATAGCCCAATTTCGGAATCATAAGGAATTTCATTAAAATGTTTACCAATTTTATTATATCAGAGATACAATATTCCTTGAGATTGAATTTTCTAAATCGATGCTATTAAAAATATAGTACAAAAATTTTTTATTTATTCGGGTAAGATTCTAATTCTTCAAGTGATTCAAATTCTCTTAGACCCCCATAAACCTTTTTTAAATATTATCTATATATTATGATTAAATATTTTATTTTTAAATAATATAAACAAAAAATAAATTTTTTTGGAAAATTAATAGTGGTGCCATTTAAAAAATTGTATGGAACTAAACCACCCAATACAGAATTATTCCAGGATATACCCTGGCTGAGTGTTTTTTATTGATAGTTATTTTTGATTGATTAAGATATTTTATTTAATAAAATCCCAAACAATGTTTAACATAATCAACATTATGGTTTGGATTTAAGTAATTTCTTTGGAAAGCATTGTAAATTTGAATTGTACCAATTACAACTAATACATGAAATATTTGATGGCTTGAAAACTAAATAGATAAAAATGGTGTAAGTTTTTATTTATTATTTATTATTTATTGTTTATTTTATATTTATTTATTTATATTATTATAATTACCCAAATGTCAAATTTCCCAGGTGAGTATTTTTCAGGTACTTTTAATCTTCTAATTGCTAACCCCAAGCCAATGAATAGATATGCAAAAACTAAACACTTTAGGACATAAAAATCTTGGTCAAAATAACCTTGCATATATATTCTTAGTAAATGAGAAACAATTCCTTGTAATGCTAAAATAGAAAAAATCAGTGTTCTAAATCCATATCTTTTTTCTCTCATCTATTTTATTTTAATAAAGTTTTAGTAAAGTTTAATTAAAGCTATATATTGATTAGGTTGGTATTGCTTACAATTTTTGGTAGTAATAACAGTGCTATAATAATTAAAATTAAAAACAATGATAAATAAACCTTTTTGAAAGATGGCCAACATGATAATTCTGAATCGATAATTAAACAAACAGATGATAAAATTAAAAAGCCAATTGATGATACATCCAACATTAATGTTTTTCTAAATACTGGTATTGAATGTGATCTGTATGTATGGTAAATTGTTGATGAGGTGAAGCAAAGGAAACAACTGAATAAAAAAAATAAAAAATTAAAATTTGATGGCAAGTCAATAAAATTTAATGTTTGTTTTTCATCAGAGTTTAAATTATTATTTATATATGATTGAAAGTCATTTGTAGAGTTATTTATGTTATTATTATTATTATAATTTATTATATTTATTGATTTAAATAATAGAACCAAGTATATTATCGCACCCACTAAATGAGTCCATATATTTAATGTATCATTATGCAATGTAAACATGCTTTTAGTACATTCTATATATGAATTTTTAGTCTCTAATCTGAACCCTGATAAAATATATTCGTTTTCTGAAAGCATTAAATCTACGAATAGCTCTAATGAATCATTACAACAATCATTGAAATCATATTTATTATGATAATATTTATGATGAGATTCTGAACATATTTTATTATTTTTGTTATTATTTATATTAATTATAAAATTATCATTATTATTATTATCATCATCATCATTATTTGTAATTTGATTGTCATTATTTTTATCGTAATTATTTATTAGCATTATATTATTTTCTATTTGTTCTTCTTCTTTTTCTTCTTTAGATAATTGTTCATATTTTGTATTGTTTTTATTGGGTGAGACTCTGTTCATTATTGATATTATTGTATCAGTACACAATCATAAGTGTAATTTTGTATATAGAAAACTAATTAAAAAAATTTGAGAATTTAAAAAAAGAAAAATTTATTTTTATAAAAAAACAAAAAAAAAAATCAAAAAATTAAAAAAAATTATTTATAAAAATATTTTTTATTAAATAAATAAAAACACACACATTTTATTATTATAATAAAATTATTTTAATAATTTACAAAAAATTTTGAATAAATATATATAATTTTTATAAAAATTGAATTTTTTTTTTTAAGGAAAACCAGGGATGCGATCTTGGATCATTTGTGCAAACTTGTCGATTGTGTTTTGATCGATTGATGAAAAAACTTCATTATAAAAATTATCGTTAATTAAATTTAATGATTCTGGGATTGTATTCTAATATTATAAAAAAAAAAAAAAAAAAAAAAAAAAATTAGTAAAGGTTATTTTTAAATTTTATATTTATAGAAAATTGTAAAAATTTACATTTGGACCTCTCTTTGCTAAATTATATTGTTCAGTAATTTGTTTTAATTCTTTAATGTTTCTTAATGGTTTAATTGGATCGTTGTTAATGATTTCATGTGGAATGATTGGTTGGTTGGTTTGCATAGAGTTGGTTTTAAAATAATTCATAGTTGAGATGGGATGTAATGTTGCAGAAAAAACGAATGCACCCATTTTTCTGAGGAATCTAAATGCTTGATAGCCTTCGTAGAGTGTTTGATTTTTGATATCTTCAAAATATTGTAAAAGGGTTTCCCAATAGTTTAAAGTAATGATGATTGGTACGCGCGGATTGGTAATTTGACAATTGTATAGACAATATAGAGAATAGATGATTGAAACTTTACCATTAATCGGTAAATCCAGTAGAGTGAACCCTAAAACACCATAATATAAAATATGTATTACATCTGGATAAATATGTTGTGATTCAAAAAAGGGTCCCAGTGTATCCATTTTATATTTCCATAATTCTTTAAATTCCGAAAATGAAACTACATTCTTTTGTTGATACTGATATATTATTTCCTTAATAATTTTTAATAGTTCATCTGGTTTACTAAAATAGTGATAACAAACTTCTTTTTTCTTTGCACGTTCTTCATGAATAAATATGGTTTCTTCGTGTAGACTTGGGTTTTGTTTTGGTGTGTTTTTATTTTCGAAAGCTGAATTTTCCTCTGTATTTAAGCTATTATAAGTGGTTGTGGATGTAGTGGTAGTTGTTGGTCTATACTGAGTTGGAGTTAGTGGTGTTATATCTATATTCTGAATATCTTTACTTGGCGATGTTGGTGCTGACGAAGGTGTTTTTCTTTTTTTTAAACCACTATTCATTTCATTATTTTTATTTTAACTATTATTTTATATTTATAAATTATTGACTAATTTAGAATTATTTTATATAAAACTAAAAATTAAAGAAAATGGGAAATGAAACACAATTAAAAAAAAAAAAAAATTTAAAAAAAAAAAAAAAAAAAAAAAAAAAAAAAAAAAAAAAAAAATAAATAAAATTTTTTTTAAAATTTATTTAATTTATTTATTTTATTTTATTTTATTTTATTTTTATATGTTATCATGTGTGTATTTTTTATTTCCTTAAATAACAATTAAAAAAAAAAACATTAATTCTTAAATAATTAAAAAAATTTTGATTTTTTTGTGTGTGTTTTTTTATCTTAAATAATAATACCAATACCAGTTTTTAGTCTTGTTAAAGTAAGGTGAACCTTGATAAATAAGGATAATGTCAAGAAGTTAGTTAAACAAAAAAGTATAAAAGGCAGATTTTTTTATTTATTTTTTATTTCAAATCAAAATAAATACTAATAAACTATTATAAAAAAAAATGAAAATATTATATTTACTTTTAGTTATTTTTGCTTATAATGTAGCTTTAATTAAAGCATCTTCATCTTCATCAACTTCATCAACTTCATCTTCATTCCCAGCTACAGATAATTTTGATTGTGCTGGTCCAGATGGTGTCTGTGGTTATTTTTCTAAATTTTGTAAATCTGGTTATACCTGCCAAAACTTTTTTATCAATAATGAAACCAATCTATACCAAGGTGAATGTTTACCAGCTTTACAGCTTGGAGATGTATGCAACTCTATCGGAGAATGTAGCATTGGTTTAAAATGTTCCCCATTGCATGAAGAGGGGTCATCAAGCGATGAGTTATCATATTGTGTCGATATTGGATATGCAAGTGTAGGCGAAGAATGTGAAAAAAATGAACAATGTTTGGGTTCATTGAAATGTATAGATTCAAAATGCTCAAATGTAGATTGTTCCGAGATTCACAATTGTCCAAGTCAACATTATTGCAGTACTGGTAAATGTACTTGGGATACAGATTGTGCAGATAGTGAAATCTCTGTTGAATGTGCACCAGTTTCGCCAGTAGGTGGATGGTGTTATTATGGTTATGAATGTAATATCAACTCAACATGTGTAAATGGTAAATGTGTAGAAAAATACTCATTAAAAGATGGTGAAGATTGCACTAGTGTTTTCGGATATTCAAGCGATGCATGCGAATCTTTAGAGGCTATATTTACCAATAATGACGAAACCCACGGAATCAGTTGCAAATGTGCCAAACCAAACTCAACTATTTATGGAAATTGCACTCAAAACGGTTGTCCAACTCTTCAATTCTGTAACACTAAAACTGACATGTGCACACCATACATCTCAACCTCTCAAGAATGTAAGAATGCCAGAATCGAAAGGGACCAATGCTATGTTGAAAACAACTGTATCATTTTAAACAGCGAACCATTCGGAGAGTTCCAATACAACAAAAAATCTTGCCACATGAAATCTTGCGAAAAAGAAAGTTTAAATTATTATAATCAATGTTATATGTTTAAAAATAGAATTTGTGACAATCAATAAATCAAATCATAATCATTTACATAGAAAAAAAAAAAAATAGAAAATAAAAAAAAAAAAATAGTTTTTTGCACACCTGGAAGATTTTATGTCTATATAAAAAAAATATAAATATATTTTTTACAAAAGCTAAAAGTTATAATGGGAAAAAAAAGGACAATACCAATAAAATAATAAAAATAAAAATATAATTAATTTAAAATATATTATTAAAGAAAAAATGAAATTATTTACAAAAATTAATTAAATCTTTTTATTATTAAATTTAAATTATTATTTTTGATCAAATGTGATATAATGGTTTTTTAAAATATTTTAATCGATTATAAAAATCCATTCGGAATGATAATTTTGGAGTGGGAGAGTCTGGGCTAAAAACTAACACTGAATGGGACCCTTTTTTAAAAAGACTGGAATTGAAATCCATAAGTGGTGGAATGACTTTGAGCTTTTTAATGAGAAACGAGATTTTAAAATAAGAACATGTTTGAAAAAAATGAATTGAACTAAGTATTAAAGTTTAATAAATATTAGTTAATTAAGATAATAATAATTATGAAAATATAATCTTTATAGTTACCTAAATAATTTTTTCTTTTATAAAAGAGATCCTGGAACATTTAGAATATTTTTGAAAGAGATTTGAATTTTTCCTTGATGATACACTTGTTAACTGTTTTCAACTTTATCGAAATCATAAATTGAAACTTTGAATGAAACGATATAATTAATAATTTTGTCTTCTTCGTGCTCATAAGTGAAACATAGAGAGACGACTTTAAACTATTAATTTTATCTCCATTGATTTCAATATGAATCAATATCCATATGGTTAACAACGTATCGATCCGATCTATTATGATCTAAGATTTAATTTCTCCAATGTTTGCTTGTGTTCACAAGAGAGTTGAACTACAGCTATTTGCTCGGATAAAAGCTTTTTTTCGAGCAATTGGATAATTTCATCTTTTTCTAATAATTCCTCTTGTAATTGATAAGATTTGCTAAATTGATTTTCTAATTTAGCTTTGAGTGAGTTCTTTTCTTCAACCAATTTACATTGTTCAATATCATTGTCTTGAGATAATTTTCTTTGTTGGTTTAATATATTTTGATATTGACTAATTTCTTGAAATTGGGCATTTTTAACATTTCTTAATTTTTCAAACTCATATTGGTTTTTTTGATCAATTACTTCTTGTTTTTCAGAGAGAATTTTTTGATGATCATTGTGGATTCTCTTTTCTGCTTCTAATCTTGAAAGTTCATTTTTTAATTTTAAAATAGTTAATGAATAATCATTATCTAAATTTTTGTTGGCCTGTTGTTGTTGTTCTTGTTGTTTTAAATCATCTATTTGTTTTAAGCATTTATATAAAAAACCTAATAAAATACAAATGACTACAACAAAAAAGAAAGAACCAAAATTTAAAAAATCCATTATTAACTGTAGATTAGAAGTGTGAATGATGATTAGGAAAATTATTTAGTTGAAAATTATATTATTTATTTAAAAAATTATTTGTGATATTAAATTATATTATTGAATAGAATATTATAATAAATAAATATATATAATTATTTGTATGTTGATAAAATAATAAAAAAAAAAAAAAAAAAAAAAAGTTTCTATTGAATTGCTATAAAAAAAAAAAATTAAAAATTAAAAATTAAAAAAAAAAAATTTAAAATATTAAAATATTAAAATTTCAAAAAAATTAAAAAAAAAATGAAATTTACCACAAAAAGAAATGATTAAAAAAGAAAATGGGGTTATAACCACACATTAATATATGAAGTTCAAAATTTTTTTAATTAAAATGATATAAAAGGATTAAGAGAATTTGATTTTGATAAAGAAAAAAAAAAGATACTATAGAAATTTTAATAATAGTAAAAATAAAAAGAGTAATAAATTTTAACAAATATATCAGAGTTAGTGTTGGTTTATTTTTTATATAAAGTTTTCATTTATTTATCAATATGATTTTAATTAAAAAGAAATTCAAAGAGAATTGATAGCTTATTGGACCTAAAAATAATAGAACAGATAGTGACCAATCACCATAATAATCATCATTAAGAAATTGTTGTACTTCTAAAATTGCAAGTCATTTAACCTAAAGAAGAAAAAAGAAAGAAAAACACCAAACTCATTAAATAAAGCAGTCAAAAGGATCTCATTAAAACATTATCTCAAATAAATATTAAATAAAAAAGCATCACCATAAAAAATATCTATTTTTTTCTTTTTAATATTTTATTTTTTTATTTTTAAGTATGGAAATCATTTACTTTAACCTGTTTGTTAGTTCTTTTATTGAGTCCATATTATTTAATTATTATTTGATTGTCTTTATATTTGGTTATTATTATTTATAATTAAATTTAAATGAGAATTTCATTAAAGTTGATGCATTAATTTTAATATTTTTAAACTCTGCTTCCCATGTATTTAAATGTGATTCTGCATTTTCTAAAGTTGATACTGTTTATTTTTTTATAATTTAATTTTTTTTTTTAAAAAATTTGTCTTTTTTTTTGGAATATGGTGAAGTTCATTAATAATTTTTTTTTTTATGTATATTATTTATTGTTAAATATTTACAATTCTATACTTTATCTTTTAAAACTACTTCACCATTTAAATAATTTTCCAAAATGAGTTGTAGTATAGATCTTACTAAGAGCTGAAATGAATAAATCTTGATGAAGGAATGTTTATTTCATCATGTGTTAATTGATTCTATAAAATTCATTTCAAACTTTGTATAATCAAAAAAAAAAAAAAAAAAAAAAAAAAAAAAAGTAACAAAAAAGGATTATTGATAATTAATTTATCAAAAAATTTCCCAAATAGGGAATAAAAAAAAAATTTTAATAAATTTAAATATTTAAAAAAAAAAAAAAATTTTTTTTTTTTTTTCATTTTTTTACTTTTTTTTTTTTATTTTTATATTTTCAACATTCATTTTTTTGCATTTTTTATTTTTATATTTCCATACATATTTTTTTTCTTTAAAGTAGATTAATTTTATATTTTAATTAAAATAAATAGAATATACGAATAAAAATGTTTTTAAATAATAATACAATTAGAAACTCAATTAAAAGATATAAAGAGTAAGTGATAATAATCTTATTAAATTTATATATAATATTTTAATGCTAATATAATTTATAACTATTCTTATTATTGCTTTAGTCAATTAAACAAGCCATTATTTAAAAATGAAGCTTTATATCAATTAACTAAATATTTGTTATTATTGGACGATGCTTCAGAGGAAGAATTAAAAGATTGTCAAAATTATATTTCAGAGTTAAAGAAAAGTGGGGTTTTAAAAGAGGGTCAAAAAGAACTTAAAGAGATCAACATTGAATTTTTAATTAAAAACAAACAATTCAATCAAGCCAAGGACTTATTATCAAATGCTATGAAGCAACATCCTTATCATTTAAATTTTATTTTAAAAAATTTATCATTATTATTATCAACTGAAAATTTTTACGAGTAAGTATTCATATATTTTTGTATTTTCAAAAATAATCAAGGAATATCTAACCATCATTTTTTTTAGATTTTTCAAATTTATTAAAGAAACCAAATTAAAATATCAAAGAGACCCAAAATATTTAGGCTTTGTAATCACCAAATTAGATTTTTTAACACTCAGAGTACTTTCAAATGATGATATAGAAATTAAAGGAGATACTTTAGTATTAAACGAATCAATTCGTTATATCAATTTGGTTATTTTAAAAACAGAATTTTACGATTATATGATTAGAGCAACAATTCAAAACAGTCACATTAAATTATTTGATAATACAATCATAGAACAAAATAATAGTAATAATAATAATAATAATGATTCAGCCATTTTAACAACTGAAGAAGCAAATTCGAATATTGATTTCGATAAACTTCCAAAAAGAATTTCAGATTTTAAAAAACAAATTAAAACAATTAAATTATTAAAATCAAACATCAACAATAACAAAAATGAATCACAAGAAATTATTATTGAACAACCATCATTAGAAGAATTTAATGAAAGATATTTCTTTTATAAGGGTATTTTAATTGATTTTCAAAATAGTGATAATAGCAACATAAATATTAGACACAACCCATCATACAAAAGTTACCTTAAAGCTTTACAAAGAGAAACTCCAAATAAGATCGGTACTCAAAATCAAAAAGTTATTCAAGTTTCATCAGAGGTTTCAAGACAATTATTTGGCTCAATTAACAGACCTTCCACTACTGAAGATGATGATGGTGAAGTAAAGCTCAACTTTTACAAATTATTAGGTGAAAAATTAGATTTACCATTCAACTACATAGATTTTTTAGTTCAAGAATTCAAGAATACCAATCAAATTGTTGAATTGGATAGCCATTTCATTCATTCAATTGAAAAAAATGATCTTGAATATCTTATAAAAAATCCTTTAGATTTTCATCGTTTTATTGGTTTCAGTTTATGGCACACAAAGCACAGTAATAATTTCAAAACTTTACTTGATTGGTTAAATAGATTTTTTTCACCTTTTATTCAAATGATTAATATATATCAAAAACAATTAGAAACCCCATCTTCACCATCTCTTAGATCAACTCGTATCACCTTATTACATATCGCCGTTTATGCTTTAAATTTAATTTATGAAACAGAATTCCATCAAGCTTTTCAAAGTCATAATGGCACATTTGGTCCTGCTCCACAAACTTTAGAATTATTCTTAGATAGTAGTTTTAATACTCCATTTCAAAAGAACTCTTTACATGCTAAAATTTGGAATTCAATGGTTTACTATTTGATAAAGCCATCAGCTACCACTGGCTCAGAAGTGTACTCTATGTCTACTTTGTCTGAGTTACTCAATGGAATTTTGAAAAATGGTGAAAACTTGCACCCTTTAACTTGCTATAAAATTGCTGGAGATCTTACCCAATTATCTGATTATTCACAAATTGCTCTTGAAGATACAGACATCAATATTCCAAAAATTCAAGTTACTTATTTATCAATAACTTTAAAAAATGTTTCATATTATCAGCAACAGAACCAACCACAACAGCAACAACAATCATTAATGCAATCACTTTCATCATCTTTATCAAGATCAAGCATTGGAAGTAAACAATCTTCAAATATATTTTATGATAAAAAGTTTTTAAAAAATATTGAAGACAAATGCAATGAAACATTGTCATTAATTTATAAAGAAAAAAATAATTTGAAACAAGCTCTCAATTTTTTATTAAAAGTTAATACCCCGGCTGCATATATGGAATCAATCAAATTGTGTGACACAATCATAAACGTTAATCAAGGCAATCCAGCTTACGATAGACAGGTTTTCATTTCATTAGTTACCTTAATGAATAACCTTTGGAACAAGTGCCAAGATTTTAATGTTACCGATTTAGACTTTTATGGAATAAGCTACGATGATTATTTAAAAGACATTGATAATGCTTTAGATTCAATTACATTTTGGAAGGATAAGTTTAATTTTAGTGAAGTACCATCTTCTCCAAATATTGTTCGTCATTCCCCAATTAATAATAATAATAATAGTATTGGCAATAATACTGGTTCTCCATTGGCTTCAACTCCAATGAAATCAAGTTTTATTCCAAGTTCATCAATTTATGGCGGTTCAATAAGTAGTACTCCTATTAAACAATCATTGCCACAACAACATCAATCTATAGCTAATGTCATTCCAAATAATTCCCAAACTCCATTAAAAATATCAATGCTTTCAAATTCTCCAATTAAATCTCAACCAGTTAAAAAGGTTCCAGAGCCAATTAAACTTGATTTCGAAGAAGATGATTTATCCTCATTCAAAGATGTTTTCCTTGAAAGAAGGAAAGAAAGAGCCGAATTATTAAAAAAGTTGGATGAAAAGAGAAAATCTTTAGTTGAACCAAAAGATTTTAGAAAACCATTATTAGATTTGGACTATATTCCAGATACACCAAGAGTCTCAACTATTTTCTCAAAACCATTAGTTCCAAAGCCTTCAAATTCGAGTGCAAATTCAGCACCACCAACAACGGAAACTACTGGTGGGCTATTTGGTTTAACAGCTACAAACCCACAACTACCAACAACTACTACTACCGCAACAACTCTACAACCACCAACAAATGCTTCTGGCGGGTTATTTGGTTCTACCACTACAACTCCAGCACCAACAACTTCTACTACCGCAGCAATCCCACAACCACCAGCAACTACTGGTGGATTATTTGGTACAACACCAACTACTACTAGTGGATTATTTGGTTCTACCACTACAACTCCAGCACCACCAACAACGGCAATTACTGGTGGGTTATTTGGTGCAACTCCAACACCTCCTTCAACAACTACTACTGGTGGATTATTTGGTGCAACTCCAACACCATCTTCAGCAACT